TTTATTTTAATAAACTTTTACAACGAAGCACAAGCTTATTGAATAAATTGTTAAAGGGTTGCAAATAGAATAAAATTTTGTTTTCTATGCTAGACCGGCTAGCAGAATTTCATTTTATTTGCAATCAAACAATTATATTTAATAAACAAAGCTACGAAAGTAAATCTACCAAATATTTCTTGTTGCCAGATTCAAGCATTATTTGTAATACGAGTTCAGTTAAACAGGGAAAGCATCGGGGAGGTAGACAATACGAAGTGAAGCTGCTTTGAAAACTTATTTAAAAATTATATAAATAATAATAATAATAATAATAATAATAATAAAACAACGTGAAATTTTGGAGCCATCTTTTGCTAATACGAAAAAAATTCCAATTTTGGATCTCACATCAACACGTCTGAGCTGCCAATGCAAGGTGAATCTATTGGAGCTTTAGTCCTGAGTAAGGTTCCTTTCATCAATGCCAGTTACTGAAGCAAAGTGAAGAAAACTCTTGTGCACATTCGCTCAGAACCTCTTGCTCAAATCAAAATCGGACTCAAACAAAGCGATTCGTAAGGATCAGGCTGCATGGGATGATCCCTAAGTAATCCGTCAGACGATATTTATAATGTTTCTCATGAATAGATTTGCCAATTGTCTTCGAAATGTTGTTTATCGCCCATTTTAATGTTCATTAAAGCATTTTGGGCGTGTCAAGTGAGTGGCTAAATATTTAATCGAGGCATTTGGTGCAGGGTATAACAAAGACTAAAAGTTAAGAGTGCGCTATATGAAAAATTCGTATGTAAATATTCGTGGCAACTTTTTGCGCGTTGTCTGTCCATCGCAATCCGGTATCCAGACAACCGGAAATGAGACGGCACATTAAAACAGATAAACCCCGTACCCTGGCTGCGAAGCGAGATGCAAGTAAATAAGCACAAGCAAAAAGGATTCGGGTTGCGTCTTTGCATGGCCGTTGACTGTAATTAATTCCTTTTTGGGGTTTCGCAAACATTTTACGCATTGTTTGCTTGTCTTTTATGTTTCGTCTAAGCCACTGGCAAAGATCGCCGCTGACAACTTAAAGCCAAACTCGTGGCAAGGCAACTCAATCAGCCAAACTTGCTGCAAGTCCCAGATAGCACACAGAAACACACAAACTTTGCCCAAAGTTATCAGCCAGTACAAATTATTAAAAGAAATTACCCAAAACTGTGCACTCCACCAACAGTCCACGTCCAACAAAGCAGAAATAAACTAATTTAAGTTGCCGCGCTCTATAGACATTGCATTGGCGTCGTCCTTCAATGAAGCCCACAATCAGACACAACCAACTGGCCAAGGCTGAGCTACTGCAGCCCTCTGATATTTCAAGGGAGAAACAACACAAATCAAAAGAATACCCAAACCTTAGACTATTCCTTATTTGGCCAGCATATCTATAAACATATATGTTGAACCACGCCTATATAAAACTTCCTTATTTGCAATTAATTTAAACAACAAGTCACAAAATTGTTTAATGTTTTTTTGGTTTTATTGGATTGACAGGTTATTTTGCTTTAATTTTGTTGCTTGTTCATTATTTGACAAAAACTATAGACAAGCAGATAAGTTCAGGGTTGATTAAATTATAATAACGTGACAAATTAAAGATGCATCAATAATACAATTTATACTTTTAGTTTATTTTTCTCTAGTGCAGCTCCATATATTCGCTTTTACTAATCGTAGTTCTTAATTTGAATATTTAATTCATGTTACTCTTTTCATATTAAAATACTTATGGCTAATACAATAAGAAATATATAATTTAAAAATGTCTTTACATATTAATTATCTGAGCTGAAGACAATTGCCAAAGTGCTATCGAAATGTATCTAAAAAATACAAATTAAACCAAACTAAGTTTTCATTTAAGTTATTAATAAACTAAACCTTGGACATCGAACCTTTAGCTGGCAAAGATTTAAAAAAATGTAAAGTTCGACAAAACATGCATATATATATATATATATATATATATATATATATTTTATTTTTCAAGCAGCTCTTACTTTCTAATCTCAGCCTGGGTAGGGCATCTCCTAGTTGAGTCTTCTAAATTTTGCATTTTCCATTTTGCGTCTCTCTGTTCATTCTGATCGTAATGAGCAGCAAAAGCGTCCGACGGTCGCGTCTTGGTCATAATTTAAAAAAAAAGTCTACAGACGGAATAAAAAATTGATAAATGTGTACGTCTTGTGTTCTGTTGGCCAGCTAGGTAGAATGTTTTTTGCTGATGCCAGCTCTTAGCACATGCCAATGCATTAGCGAGCAAGTCAGGAGCCGGTTCAAAGTTCAGCATTCCATCTCAGACAGGACTCTGGCTGTCCGGCTGTTGCCTTCCTGCCAAGAATTTGCATATTTTCTGTTTCGCTGCCGCTGCGTGACCATCGCATGTGGGACCCCGTATACTTTTTACGTTTTTCTGCTTTCTGGCTTGTTGTTTTTTTCTCATTTCTCCTCTGTTTAGTAGTGTGAAATTTAACGCCCATTTTTGTCGCATTTTTGCCTCAACTTTGCCTCACTTTGCGGCCATAATAGACTCAGCATAGAAAATGAGACCAGTAATTTGATGGCACCACATTCTAACCAAAAATAGCCTGCCTGCGGTAGAGTCCGACCCAACATAAATGTATCGTCCAGCACGTGCGAGCTTAACAAAATGTTGCCAGCATACTTTAACTAGGCAAAGTTTAGACAACAACACAAATGTCGACTTTAGCAAGGGTTCTATCTATGAAGAAAATTTTGCACTTTTCCAAAATTAACGCACATATTCCTTGATGCAATTATTTGGCAGCTTATATTTGAATTAGCTGAAATAATATATTTCTAAATAAAGCTGCATTCACAAAAATAATTATCACATATTACAAATATAAAAATTGTAATGCTATAAAAACTATTTTGTCTTGCGATACATTTGTGGCATATTTGCATAGCTCGAAAATTGTTAGAAGTAATATTTTCTTGAATTCATCAATAATAGAATTTTGATAACTTTAGACAAGAGACTGGGACTTAAATAGTACAACGGACTTATCATGCACCTTCTACAATTTGTTGTACAAAAGAAAAGTAATATACTCTGAAAGTTATATTTTTAAATTATAAATATGTTACATACTTATATTTAAGAAAATAAATCTGTTGAAGATCTGTGGCACCTACGAGATATCAATTTTTTAACACTTGCATTATTTAACAAATAAAACATTTGACATTGCAATTTTTGTTTTTACATTTATTGAATAGTTTGTACGTCATAAAAGTTATTAAAATAGTTTATTGATAAATTGTTTATTGATAACTCGTTTGACAATTGTCAAATGAATATATTATAGGTTTTCTCTAGAAAAATTAAACACAATTTTGCACAACAAAATCTCACAGTTTCTTTTGATGAGCTCAAAATATTTCAATGCCCTAACTATTCTGGTATTATGTGCTGCATTCTATACTTTTCTATTAAACTTTTTTAATTTTGTTGCTACACCACACTTACATTTATTTGCATTTATTTTCTGTTGTTTTTATAATTCGTGCAAATAAATAATTCCCCTTCCGCGGACTTAGCTGGGCCTACGCTCGACTACTTTGTCCGCTAGCTTATGTGTTCAGCTGTTAAGTTCCCCTGGCCCGTGAGCCCACCTTGCAATCGTGTGCAAAGTTCGCGCCCAATCAACCTTGTCTTGAGCCCACTTAACACGGCCGCACTTGGACTTTAGCATCGCTTAGATTTATTTGACATACGATGCCCCGCGCACGCCTCCGCAACGCTTTCAACAATTGGCTTTGCGGCTACTTTGGGTTTTGCCACGGTCTCTGTGTTATGTACGCCGTGTACACATGTGTCAACATGGCGCCCCGCCTCTCTTCTAAGCTGACCCTGCGTGCGTTGCCCGTTTGAAATGTCCACCATGGCGTATACGCAACGCAGCTTGAGCTCGTTTGTATTTAAGCCTAAATTATTAACCGAATGGCAGCGGCAGTCGCACAAACATTATTGCTTTGCCATAAGCGCACACAGCGAGCACTTGAAACTTATACGCGCGCACACACACACACACACAGCTAGATTCACACACACACACACACACACGCACATAAACACACGCACTATACAAACAAATGGTTCGCAGCAGCAATTTCATGAGTCATTTAACCGAGTTGTGTGAGCTGCGAGAGAAAAAAGATCGATGAATTTTGCGTGATGGTGTGTGTGTGTGTGTGTGTGTTGTTGTTGTTGTCGCATAGCAGATGATTATGTTTATGAAATTCTAACAGCATTCATATGCACAAGTATGTGTGTGAGTGTGTGTTTGTGTGTTTGCTATCGGACATTCGTGTTGTTGAAATGCGCACAAAAACATAAACAGAAAATCGAAAAAAGAAAATAAAAACTTGCAATGTTTGCGACAAAACGGTCAGTCAGTATCCTTATGCCTTTCATATGATGAAAATGAGTAAAAGTATATACACACACACACACACACACATATATATATATATATACATATACAAGCAGCATTTTAAAGAAGTGCAAGAGAAAACGGAAGTTTGCCAACGTCCACATCCGTTGCCTTTAATCTGGCCCCCATTTTCGGGGGCGTTGGGTCTGACCTAAAAGTGCGGAAATTAAAACATATGTATTTATAGCCAGCACATGCACATCGTGTTGTAACTAACTGCAACAACAGCAACAACAACAACAACAAGGAGAACAACAACGAGAACAAACAACGAACAACAAGCAGCAGCCACAACCAAGTTGGCCCCAAGCTTTAAGCTGACCCCCATTTACCAAACAACCTCCATACAATAACAACAGATATGCATCTGTGTCGAGCATTTGCCACACATATATACTTACTTGTATGCGTGCGAGTGTGTGTGTGTGTGTGTGTGTGTTGGAAATCTGTATTATAAGCATTTTTATGGCTCTTCTTCTGTTTGATTCGCTTTAGGTTCAACTTTTATCTCTGCATTTAAAAGTTTTATGCGCCGAAAAACGCTTGCACTTCGACCAGGACCAGGACCAGGCCGCAGTCACTGGCCAGCTGAAGCCCCAAGTGTTGGTCAAGTGCCGTCCGTGTTCAAGTCTATGGTTAGCTGCTGGCCAGTGTTGCAGCACTTCCAGTTCTTGTCGTAATCCGCTTTGCCACGCCCAACTCGGCTTGAACGGAAGCTGCAGCCGAAAACGCAATCGTGCCCGGACACGGCGAGGAAGACGGAGACGGAGACGGAGACGACGGTGCCCAGCGGCTTGGCGGGCAACAGCAGCTGCTGCTCGCCAGAGCTAAGTGCTTGTAAAATTACAGTTTGTGGATTTTCAAATGGAAATTAATTTGCACTAAGAGTTAGTCGAATAGAAAAATATAGAAAAATAATACATATATAAATATATATATGAGGTGTTGCGGTTCTTGTGGTTAACCTGTGCATTGAAGCACCTTAATGCTCTACACTTGTACACAAACAGATTCTTTTGCTATAAAACTTTAAACAGAGCACTAAGAGGTGATGCTCGGACTCATAATATATTTAAATCCAGATTTAATTACTATTACTTATACTCAAGAATATTAGAAGATAAACTATCAGCAATAATAAATTAAATTATATTATAAATAATAAGATATTGTATTTATTTATTGTATACTAATAAATAATTAAGTTCGTCTAATATGATTATATTCTTTGCAGCACTGATCAATATATATATTTATATTTTATTTTGGATCAAAAACAAAAAAAAAACAAGTAAGAGGCTCTAGTCGAGAGCTCCCGACTAGGGGATACCCTGAGCTTTCTTCTTCCAACATCAAATGCATATAAATATATTTTATTTTAGAAGCTATATGCCAAGTTTGGTGTATCTATTATTTACCAAAATTGCCCAAAAAACATTATATCGATATCGATTTTTATCGATTGCTTGGTAACAGAGTAAGCTATCGAACATCGTTTTGGAACATCTTATCTCCAAGAGGAGTTATGTCGTTTTGGAACGTCATATCTCCAAGAGGAGTTATGTCGTCTTGGAACGTCATATCTCCAAGAGGAGTTATGTCGTCTTGGAACGTCATATCTCCAAGAGGAGTTATGTCGTCTTGGAACGTCATATCTCCACACGGAGTTATGTCGTTTTGGAACATCTTATCTCCGCTGGAGTTATGTCGTTTTGGAACGTCATATCTCCACGCGGAGCTATGTCGTTTTGGAACGTCATATATCCGCGCGAAGCTATGTCCTCGTGGAACGTCATATCTCCGCGCGGAGTTATGTCATTTTGGAACGTCATATCTCCGCGCGGAGTTATGTCGTTTTGGAACATAATATCTCCGCGCGGAGTTATGTCGTTTTGGAACATAATATCTCCGCTGGAGTTATGTCGTTTTGGAACGTCATATCTCCACGCGGAGTTATGTCGTTTTGGAACATCATATCTCCGCTGGACTTATGTCGTTTTGGAACGTCATATCTCCAAGAGGAGTTATGTCGTCTTGGAACGTCATATCTCCAAGCGGAGCTATTACCCGAGGTAGGTTTGAATATCAAAACTTTTTTGAATATTTTTTTGAAAATCTCGGGTAAATATAATCTGATTTTAAAATATTATACCTTTTTGAATGCGTACGGATCCCTACTATCATATAGCATTATTAAAAAAAAAGTTGTTGGCCAAAAAACGTTTCGCTTGCAAAGTCCACATTCTCTGCGGAGTTATGTCGTTTTGGAACATAATATCTCCGCTGGAGTTATGTCGTTTTGGAACGTCATATCTCCAAGCGGAGTTATGTCGTTTTGGAAAATCATATCTCCGCTGGAGTTATGTCATTTTGGAACGTCATATCTCCACGCGGAGCTATGTCGTTTTGGAACGTCATATATCCGCGCGAAGCTATGTCCTCGTGGAACGTCATATCTCCGCGCGGAGTTATGTCATTTTGGAACGTCATATCTCCGCGCGGAGTTATGTCGTTTTGGAACATAATATCTCCGCGCGGAGTTATGTCGTTTTGGAACATAATATCTCCGCTGGAGTTATGTCGTTTTGGAACGTCATATCTCCACGCGGAGTTATGTCGTTTTGGAACATCATATCTCCGCTGGACTTATGTCGTTTTGGAACGTCATATCTCCAAGAGGAGTTATGTCGTCTTGGAACGTCATATCTCCAAGCGGAGCTATTACCCGAGGTAGGTTTGAATATCAAAACTTTTTTGAATATTTTTTTGAAAATCTCGGGTAAATATAATCTGATTTTAAAATATTATACCTTTTTGAATGCGTACGGATCCCTACTATCATATAGCATTATTAAAAAAAAAGTTGTTGGCCAAAAAACGTTTCGCTTGCAAAGTCCACATTCTCTGCGGAGTTATGTCGTTTTGGAACATAATATCTCCGCTGGAGTTATGTCGTTTTGGAACGTCATATCTCCCAGCGGAGCTATGTCGTTTTGGAACGTCATATCTCCGCGCGGAGTTATGTCAAATATATTTATATTTTTGTATATATGTAGTTCAATAATTCCCTTTAAAGATTTTTCGTGCTCTTATTTATATCAACATATTATTATTCATTAATTGCCGAAGAGTTTTTGACCCCACCTGAGCATGTAGCTTGATCGAAGTAGGTAAGTTACGTTTAACAGTAAGTCAGTCGGGACATACACATAGATTAACAACAATAGATGCTATGGTAATATTAATTCAATTGTTTGCTTATTACAAAACAAATTTATTTAAATAAAAAACGTGTACATCTTTATATACACAAATAAGTATATCAAATTATCTAGTAATAGTAGAAGTAAATGAAGTCTGCCGCATACTGCTTAGGTCTGCCTAGCCCATGCTCCTGTGCGCTTACATTGACTCTAACGTTATTTCATTCTTTGATTCCTGCTAACATTCGCTAGCAAGCTGGCCACCCACATAAGCCATAGTACGCCTAATCTCAAACAGTTTATCGCATCAAGTATTCGCCCTGTAGTGCAATTGGTGGCTTTTGTGTTTCTAGAGCTCTCTAGACAACTCATTCTCTTGGCATTCAGCTGGATATGCTGTGGGCTGGAATTCAATTGTTGTTGTTGTTTTCACTGTGCTGCAAATGGTAAAAGTTTTAATTTAATTATAGCTCTATTTGCGGGCTAAGCAGAGCAGAGCACATTACACACACACACACACACATGTGTCGAGCCCTGCGCCAACCCCCGCATATGGAAACGCATAAGACTTGCGGATTATGGCCGTAATAAATGTAAGCAAGTGTGCAGCATGCCTGTATTTATTTAACACACACACACGCACACACGAGCACACACAGACACAATGTAAAACTCACACACACACACACACACTTGCAGTTAAAACAACAAGACGTATATTATTGCACTTTTCTCTATGCAAAATTATTCGAGTATAGAGCAAACCGGAACGGACCGTCGACTGCAAAGTCCAACTAACTTTTTAATGCTGATTATCCGGCCAGCCGGATCTCTCTGTCTCTCGAGAATCTAATCAAATATTTCTCTCTAACTGTAAAATTGGTGTGGGCAGATTGTGTTCAACTAAATGCCAGTTCTGGCCTGATGCTCGCTGCCAGCTGAGCTCAGCTTGGAGATTGGCATCTGTGGCAAGGCCCACAGCATGGCCTTAATTAAGTATTGCCTGTTGAAATCAATATGCACAGAACAACATGCATTATAATAAATTCTCATATATATTTATGGTAAATTAAATAAACCACACCCGCACACACACACTTAAGCTGGCTGTGGAAGAAGTCTACTTCATGCCCGGTCCATTTGTCAACGTAGATTTCGCATCGTGGCTGGTCATTGATTTATCGCAAGTGGCTGCTATAACCATTCAATAACTTTGGCCAAGAAGCGTCAAGCTGCCAAAAAGCCGCAAATAACAACTAGGCCAGGCCGGGCCAGCGAAGGGGCAAATAGCCAAAAATGTATTACAGTCATAAACTGCAGCACACACTCGAGCACCAAGTGGGGTAACAACAACAACAACAACAACAGCAACCTTGCATACATATATGGCACTTGTTTTTGGGCTCCCTCGATGACTAACTGCGAGAGTGACAGACTGACCGACTGACAGACTGACTGACAGGCAGGTTAAATTACAGCGAACCATGCCCAGCATTATTCGATAACTTTACCTGGCTGAAGCAAATGCAGTTCATCTGAATTAGTTGTTGAAATATGATATAAACAAATTGCATAAATTATAAGCATCAACTAATACAATTATAAAATATTTACATGCAAAGCACAAATAGCATTAAAACCCAAAGTTGTATATAAACAAGAGATAAGTTGCGAAAGCCCGACTAGGAGATACCCTTACAAACTTTCTAGCTTCCTACTAAGCACACGTACACAAACACACACATACTATGGGCAATGCTTGCATGGTTTACTTCGTACTTAAAATATATATATAATATATATATATATATATCAGGTTTATTTAAATACCGAAGATAGTTTTAAAGTTTTGGAAGTCGGGAAAATGAAATATTTTGGATCTGTGTAGACATCTTTACCAAATATGGAATCTCTAGCTCTCATAGATATGCTGACTCTTTTTTATCGATAAAGAAAATAAATTGAGTGTTACATATTTCAAATAAATAAAATATTCAAATAATATATGTTGCAGTCTGTTCCAACCGACTGCGCAATACTCGTTCACATTCCAATTACAACCTCAAAGCTGGCTTTCGACTAACTCCTGAGCCCAAAGTTCAAAACTGTTTTGGTAATGTTTCTTTAATCTGATTGTAGTAGACTACTTTAACGATTTGAATGATAATACAGCGTCCCCCAAAGCCCGAACAATAAAACCAATTAAAATGCACATAAAATTTTATAAAATATGTATGCACGAATATTTGAACAATCGGTCCAACAAAATTAGCTAACACAAATCCCCGACAATTCTGTCAATTAGGTTTGCGCGATCAAATCGGCTTTGCAATGGGCAAAGCTCGTCGCTGTCGCAGGTTTATATTTGATTTGAAAGCTGATTACGCAACGGCTGACTGCGAGGAGAAACAAACAACGACAGGTTGATTGAATGCCAGGCGAAATCGAAATCGATAATCATCAGAGACGCAAATCAGAGGGCACGGCTTTCGGACAGCTGCAGCTCACACATTACGCAACAGACATCATAAAGCAGGACATCATTAGCAGCTACATTGCATGGCAACTGCCATTGAGTATTATGGCCGAAAGCCCGTTCCCTTTTCTTATATGGCACGGCGGCACGGCAATTGCATTTTGTGCAGCACTCGACAGCGCTAAAGGACCGAAGCATGGCGAGATTGTGATCCCATGCATACAGGATGGCGCATTATATGGCCTCTGGTCATATTATATATGGCGCATTATGCGACGATGATAGCGATGGCGGCGAGAATACATCGCCGCTGGGCTGCCGGTCGCCACTTGACACAAAACAATAACAGCAGCGACCAACACACGGACATACCATATAGACAACTTTTCGACATAAAACAATAAAAGTTTTTCGCTTATTGCCCACTTGTCCTTGAGTGGTTTTGCATGAAGTCGCCAGGTCGCCCCCGCGTTGGTTAATGGTTATGGAGGATGGTTATGGAGGATGGCGATGGCGCTGATGATGAGCATGATGTTGATTGTGTTGGCACTGAAAGCCTGCAAGTCGCGAACGGACGCGCAACGTTTCGTCAATAAAATATACTCGCATATATATACAAACATATATATACGTATACTTTATGTAGCACAGTTTGCAGCGTCCATTAGGCGACGCTCCACACCGACTGGCGCTTGGCATATTTATTGATTTTCCATCAGCGTGCGCTCAAGTGTTTAACTATGTGCTAATATTTATTAAAAACCATAAAGACGCGTTGCGTAAGTCTGCTGCTGCTCTATAAATGATGAGCCTGACAGAATCCGTGCTGTTAACAGAATGTAAATCTAAGCGATTGCTTTGCTGTGCATTCATTATGCTTACACGGGGCGTATGATTAATCTCATTTCATTATGTTATCGCTCCAGCCGCATCTCTCTTTGGCTCGCCCACAGTTGTGCGGCTTTTGTTCGGCTGTCCAGCTATGAAAAATGATTTGCTTTTATTTTCTTAGCATTTAGCTCATAGTTGAGCTGAAACTCTTTGACCCTAATTCATGGCCCATTTGCATTAAAACAACTTAATTAACAGTTGACATAATATGCTTTAGGTATTTTGTTTTTATTTTTTCGTTTTCTGTTATAATTTTTCAGTTTTTATTCTTACGCACTTTCACAAGACTTTGCATTTTAAATTCTTACACGCTTAAAAGATTTAGTTTTCCTTTCTGTTTTGTTTTTGTCGTACTTTGCTTTTATTGGGGGTTTTCTCGTATTTAATTGAAAGTTACTTTCAAATTCAGTTTAGCTTTAATAACATCATTAATTCAATTTTGTTTTTCTGTAGTAAATAGACTATACTGTATGTATACATATATATATATATATATAGCGTTTGTTTTTCTTTACTTTTTTTTTTTAATAATTATAAATACACATTTACATATACAATATTTACGTCAGTTGTCTGCAGTTTTATTTCGTTTTCGTTTTAATTAGCTTAGATCTTAACTAACTTAAGAATTTGTCACTTTCATTTAGCTAGTTTGCCGTACTTACTTGTGTGTTGGGAAATTGTTGGTGAAATGTTTTGCTTATGATTGTTTAAAAGCTTGAAAACAATACGAAATATCAAAGAAGAAATTTTCAATATGCTTGCACATAAAATGGGAAAAATAATAATTCATAATTATTAATTTCATTCTATTATTGAACAAAATTGTTATTAAATGCACAAAATTACTTTGATATGAAAAATTCCACAAAATTTTAACTTAAAACAAGTAAGAGTCTCTCTTAAAGCTCCCGACTAGGGGATACCCTGAACCCTATTCTTCCAACATCAAATGCATATATATATTCTATTTTAGAAGCTATATGCCAAGTTTGGTGACTCTATTATTTACCAAAATTGCCCAAAAAACAGGATATCGATATCGATTTTTATCGATTGCTTGGAAACGGAGCAAGTTATCGATTATCGGAAGCAAACTCGATCTGCGCGGGAACTAGGAGCACCTACATCTAAAATTTCGTTCATACATACGGACGGACGGACGGACAGACGGACAGACAGACGGACATGGCTAGATCGACTCGGCTATTGATGCTGATCAAGAATATATATACTTTATGGGGTCGGAGAAGCTTCCTTCTGCCTGTTACATACATTTGGATTTTGCACAAATACAATATACCCTTATACCCATTTTTAATGGATTCAGGGTATAAAAAAAAAAGCTAAATTATTTTGAATCTCATGTGAATGTTGAATACATGCATAGCTGAGTTTTTTGTTAGTTTTTCTTTTCTTTTTCTTTTTTATTTTTTGTATCTGTTGTACTTTTTGTTATTGTTTGTTGAAAAGCTAATGAAAACTATTGTGAGAGCGAGTCGCAGTTGGGGTTGAATAGTTGTCGCTGTTAAACATGCTTAATGCAACTTTTTCAGTTTTTCAATTTTTCGTTTTTATCTTATTTTCCCAGTTTTGTATATATTTCTATCGATAGCATTATAAACTTTTTCAATGTTTATTATTCTCATTTATTTTTTTTTATTGCATATACCATTATATAAACACTGAATTAATTGGTTTTTTTTTGTCCATTTTCTTTTTTTTTTTTTGTTCATTTTTAATTGCAAATGCTGTTGCACAGTTTTGTATGCTTACTTTTCTATATACTTGCTACGACAAAGGTGATGTGTTTGTAAAATAAAGTGTGTAATTAACGAAATAGCTTTTACAAAGTGAAACCAGGCAGAAGAACTTATTTGGAAATAGATTCTACCAAAGGTTAACCTTATAGTTGTGCCTTTGGTAGAGAGAAGAATAAGTTGCAGGAAACTCCTTTGATCACAAACATTTAAGGACTTGCATATGAATAATTTACTTATAATACGCAAATGCAATGTATTTATATGTATTGTTGAGATTTTAAAAATAAACTGAAATCAGAACTTAAAACTGAATTAAAAAAGTGTCCGATTTTACAAATAGCTGAAACTCGGCACCAATAATTTCATTCTCAACTGAAGCAACAGTTTTTTGAAAGTGAATAAGCTTCAATTTGTCGTATAAGAGTTTACAACAAAACAAATAATATTAGATGACGCGATTTTGAAAAACTCCTCTAGGTCTTAAGCACATTTATTAACCTTTGATTGTGAGTTTAACTGAAAAACCTTCGTGTATATATTTTGAGACAAATCTTAAAAAAAGTAGAGTATTCGCGTATTAAACAAATATATTTATTTAAGTTTTTGGCAACCAAAATAAAATGTTTTAATATGATCAAAAGTCGCTCAAATTGAATAGCTCGACACTTAGAAAATCGGAAAATTTCAGGTCCATGCATTTTATGGAATTCGGTACAGAAAAACCTTAACAAAAAAAGTCGAAAATTTCAATGTAACATATATTGACAATAACAAAAAGAACTTGGAGTAAAGACATGCTTTACTATTTTACTAGCTAAAAAACAGCTGAAATTATAGTCAGAAATGGCTGAAAATGAATATGCGAAAATTCTCAACAGATTGTCCAGCAAACCGCATTTAAGTTGTCAAAACCTAAACTGAAACTTGTGTTAATAATAATTTTGCAGAATTGAATTTTTGTTCTCATAATATTTGCCTAATTATGTATTTATATATATATATATATATATTTTGTGTTATCAATTAACAACATAGAAAAACATGAAATGTGCAACACGAATTCGACCATATTTAATCTAACCTCAGTTCTTCAGCTCGTTTTGCGCCAACCCAATTAAGCTTAAATATATAATCTATATTTATGCCATTTATACAAACATTAAGGAAACAATTTGGAAACGAGGCAACTTATGATAGGAATATTCGAATATATCTTCTGAATCGTTGCCATGATTTGATGTCTTTGATGTTTTGGGATAATTTTGCGACAAGGACTTCAACATCTAGACAAACATTTCTCCTAAGCTTAACTTTTGCTTTTGTGAAATCATTTTTACAGTGTTTTTTCCATCATTATATATTTTATTTAATATGTATATTTTGTTAAATTGTATATGCTTTAGTCAGTACTTGAATTTTTGCTGCGCACTTGAAGTTTAACATTTAGAAAATTTTTCATTTGAATTTCTTTTTTTTTTTTCGAATTAATTATGATTATTTTGTTTTGTTTTTGTTTTTGTTGCTTAATGTGTGTTGAGTTGCTTGCCGTTAAACATTTATTTTTACGCCTATTTGAGTTTATAAAATAAGTTTTTGCATTGGGAATAGTCACAGTATGGCATCTGGAAAAGCGCTTTCATTTTAACATTTAGCTTGTTTTCCCCATTGTTTTTCATAATTTTTTTCGAGTTTTGAGCAGTGTTCGTGTCGGTTAAGTCTCTACACAAAGTTCTAGCGAATTTTCTATTGTATATTCATTTGATGTATCAAAAAGTTGGAAAGTTGTGTGTTTTTTGGGCCAAATATACCTTGAAAGTTAATCCAAATACTTCTTCACTGAACTGGCGGGCTTAGAAGCGCGATTCTGCCTATTTACAAGATTCGAAACTAAAAGTTAGACAACAGAACTGTTTTGACCATATGATACAAAAGTTGTACTTGAAAAGGCGACAACTTGGCTCTGTAATTAGTTTTTTCCATTCTTTGTATTCTTTTCGGATTAATTATTACGTATACGTCACGGGTTCATAGAAAAACGGAATAGCCAATAGATTATACATAGTAGTTACTATTATATAGTTACAGCTTATGTATGTATTGTTGTGTTCGTGTGTGTGTGTGTGTGTGTGTGTGTGTATATTTGAGTTAGTTAGGCTAAGTTGTTATCATATAAGTGTATGTATATGTATATGTGTGTGTGTGTGTGTGTGTGTGTGTGTGAGTTTACTTTATAGTATTAGTCTAGAGTCTAAGAGAGTGTTTCTTGTTTTTCTATATATTTACTTTCGTTTTCATTTTGAATGGCTGCTCACCTTATGTCTGCCTCATATACTTGCCTAAACGTTGCCGTTGTTGTTGCAGTTGCACCTGCTGTTGATGTTGATGATTGTTGAAGTTGTTGCTGTTGCGGTGGGCCACGCCCTCGCCATGTGACGCTCAGCAGCGTAGAGTAGAGCAGGCTTAAAATACCTTGGAGGATGTGTCCCAGTCCAGATACTGACACAGACGCTTTGACGCCGGCATGTCCTCGTCCGCCTCGTCCTCGTCCGGGACATCTGCTGCGGCTGGTGGGGATTCGTCGAAACCGCAGGGTCGACTTCGCCGCCGCGGCTGCAGCACGGAGGGCCGCATGGAGTGCCTGGCAAATGCCAAACTGCAGCAGCACACAAACAGGTACACTAAGAGATAGCGACTTGGAGACATGGGAGGATGTGCTGGTGCCGCGTGCTGCATTGCTGCTGGGAACTCCCCTGGAAACGGAATGAGAAACACCTGTTTAATTTACATCTTTATTGCTGTTCTCATACTCAATTATTGGGTGAAACAAAAACGGTAAAAATATGTTGTGTACGTGTATGTTCGAGTACTCTTTATTATGTATGCAGCACGTGTCCTTATGGCCTTTTTTTATTTTATTCATACAGTTGGGTAATGCTTAGCGCAGGTGATTATTAGATGGACATAATGCCACATAATCTGGCTAGAGCACTAACTAGATTATCAGCTCAGTCAAAGGTGTAAAGAAACCCGAAAACAGCCACCAAACAATAACAAATCCTTTTAAAAGAAAAGCACGGAAAATCGACCAAGTCGTAAAATATGCTGCAAAAGCCAAACGGGCAAAATCCCCATTCAATCGCTGGAAAGCACACATAAAGCACGGAAACACGCAACCAGAAACCAAACCTGATGACAGTTACGACTCAGTTAGGGCAACAGAGCTGCATCTGGGGTACAGTGTTGCGAAACGGACTCAAGGGGAGTATTACTCACGCTATGTACGTATAGGTAGATATTAGTTACTTATTCTTCATTATGAAGACTTTTATATTAGTAATTAGAAGATGTCGATTCGACAACACAATAATACTAAAAAAATTTAAGCCATCTGTTAAATATAATGAAAATAATACCAATAAATAATCTATTTAAGGTATTACATCCTTATCTTCTGTTAACTATTATAAATCATTGTAAATCTTAAAGTGATTTAAGTATTACAGCCTATAATTTTCAAACATTTTTCTATAATTTGACGAATGGAAATTCGAAATACTGATAGTAAAAATATTTGTCGTGTAAAACTGGCAGATTTCATAATTAAATCTTTAACTTCAGATTGAAAGACTTAAACGAAATAAGCTTATAAATACCGTTACAAGATTTTCAATATTAACTAATTGCAATTGGAAAATGGAAAAAGGATTAGCCTTTTACTATCAGCACACTAATCAATGTTAAAGCAGTTTAACTATAATTGATAGTGTTTTAATTAATTGATTAAATAAATGCTAAGTATTAAAGTTTTTGTATTGCGGTATTTTACAGCCTGCATTGACTGGTCACACTTGAGAATAAAATACAAATAAAAAGCTAAATGTATTTGTTGCGTTAACAGTTGCTTCAACACGCGCTTTTTACAATTTTCATTCAAATTGAAAGAAACACGACGCAAAACAAACAAACTCATAATTTTAGGAATTCATATTGTCGTTGCGCGTGCAGCATGCCGTCTCGCTCGCACTAGCTGGCCATGCGGCAGCTAACGATAAACAATAAAAGCCAAGTAATGCAAAAAAGTGAAGCAAAAGAAGCGAGAGAAACGAAAGGCAAACAAGCAACTGTCATTGGGCGACAAAGCCTGACGCAAAGTGTGTGAACGAAGCTGTTGGCACGGAGACACGGCGAAAACAAAAGCAGAACTACTACAACAACAACAACAACAACAACAACAACAACAACAGCAACAGCAGCAAGAAGAAGCAGACAATGTTGACGGGCATATAATAATAAAAATAACAACAAAACAAAATGTAACAACGGCAGCGGCAACAACAACAATGCAAAGTAGCAGAACAAGAGACAAAACATAATAATAATCAGAAACAAGTGTGCCAAAGCAGTTAACGGAAACAACGCGCATTGCATGCACAATACGGCGCTAGGCATGAGTACACCCAGCTATATGTTCGTATGTGTGCGTGTGTGAGTGTGTGTGTGTGCGCTGTGGCATTATCTAGCAGACACCGTTGCGACAACGACGACGACAACTTGACATTAGCGAAAAGTCGCAAAGGAAGTGGCATGCTGCATAAAGTCAAACACGGCTGCGGGTGAGGGGGAAGGCGAATTGCACGCTGCGGGTAGCGTGTCGCATAGACCAAGCGCAACATAAACATAATTTCAGGAGTGCAACAGTGCGGAAGGGAGGGGCAGAGGGAGCAGCGCTAAGTGCTGGGAGTTTCGTTAGTCTGTTAACAGTCCAACATTATGTTAACTGCTGTGCTCGCGAAGAGGGCGGCAACAGAAAACTGTATTTGTTTTTACTGTTCCTTTTCATTTTGATTTTAATGTTAATTGTAATGTTAATGTTAATTTTTAATGTAGTAAATATTGAATATACAACTATTGTTAAGGCAATTAGCATATTGCAAGACTCTGCCTTGACTACGCAACCAGTTAAAGCTATTTTCCAATCAATATTTTCACTGTTCGTTTCGGTTAACAGCGTGAACTTCACTTGTTGGGTTTTTCTATCTTCTTCTTTTTTCTGTACGCTCTTTAAACACAATATATATATATAGTCGAGTTACTTCCAGCACAGCAGGCACGCTCTTCCCTCCTTTGCCACTCGACACCTTTTGGCCTGGTTTATTTAGTGTCAATGCTTGTGTTACCTGTAGCTGCATTTCTATGGCTGCCCAAAGACGGGCTGAGCCCTGCTTTGGGATACAGTTCGTTGAGAACCTTTGGCGTGTTTTTTTTTTCAATTTTAAAGAAATTTAGCTACAGCTATTCAAACATTTATAGACACTAGAAGGGCTTCTACTTTAAGGAATTCAAACTAAAATGTTTTGTGAATTTATTTAAATTTAAACTAGAGTAAACTTTTCGATTGAGTCGCACTTTATTTTATTCCCCATTTAGGGTATTTATTGTACAAATTTTAATTTTCTATGGCCTGCTTTTTTAATCTTTTCATATTAAAGTTCATCCCAACAGCTTTCTTTCTCACACTTGTAAAAAAAAACTATCCCAAGCTTTCTCAAAAGGATTACTTCACTAGCATTTCAGTTCACCTTTTTTTCACTCAAGTGCATTTCTCTTACAATTATTAACCAAAGTTTTGACTAATCTTTGCAGCATTTTAACCGACCGAGCATTACTTCAACATGCCCTGCGAGCACCTCTTGATACATTCCCTGCCATTCGGGCATTCAGATTTTGGCCACAAAGCATTCATAAGCCCGCATTCGCTACAATGTTGGCCGTGGCATTTCCCAACCCCTTGGACTTCTTCATTAGCATGCCTTGCCTCTGCACTTTTCGTAAGTCTTTGTGCATTCTCCGCGGGAATACCCTCAACGCAGTTAGTCTCTTGGCATTCATTCTGCTGTCCATCACGCTAAAGTTTCGCCTTCGTGCATTGTGCTCTTCGTTTGCGTTAAATCTTATTATCAGGGTAGTTAAACTTAAGCACAATGTTGGCTTAGCGTAAAAGCGAGAGTATTGTGAAACTACAAAATAATAATATGCATATAAATTGGCACGTCAATAGCTGAGTCCAAGTATACTCTAAAGGATTCCAAAGCCTAGGAAGGATAAGAAACAGAAACACCCTAAAACTCTACACATTCACAAGATCTTCATTTAAGTGCTAAATTAAGAATTTGTAAACTTGAGAGTTACAAAATTTAAACGAAAGTTAAAAAGAAACTATCTCAAGCATAGCTTATACATTAAATAAATATTATACACTTAATAAGTTTTTATGCTTAAAGAAAAGTCTTATCAACAATTAACACTTGCCTGTAAAGGGTATACCGTTTTCGGCTTGGCAATAAATATTAATTACATACGTACATTTATACATTTTAATCAATGTTTTTTTTTTTTTTTGTTCATTCTAAGTAGTTTTGTCTGATGGTTTTTGTGTTGGATTGTCGTTGATTTTACTTACCATTCAGCACGTGTACCGTTACGCTTTTGGGCTTTGCATTTGATGGATTACACTGATAATGCCCGGAGTCGGATGGACGCGCCGATTTAATCAGAAGGAACGATGTCGTCGTCTCACCTTTGTTGGTGACCACCGAAACGCCGCCCCGAGGCGAATCATAGTTGATTATCTGCAAAGAGAAAGTAACGAGAATTGCATAAAAGAAAACAGAGAGAGCGTGAGAGAGAGGGGGGGAGGTGGAAATGATAGACAGAGCAATCGCAATTTGTATGCGAACGACTTTTACAATGCCGCATGGAGTTAGATTTGATGCGACATTCATTTTCTATGTCATAAAGCTGTTTGTGCCCATATTACGCATACGCACTGTTGCACGCAGCTAGAAAATTAAAAGCAACGCAAAAAACGAAACGAGTAGAATAAATTATGGCTGGCAGAAAAGAGAGAAAAGATTGCGAATAAAAGCAAAACAATAAAATTAAATCTGCCCATGGCCAAACTGGCACTAATGGCAACTTTCTACCCTGCTGCTGCCACTTTCACTTTCACTTTCACTTTGGCTCGCACTCAACCCTGCTTAAAAGCATGGCTATGGTCTATAGAAAATACATAACAATAGAAGGGCTGCGCACAGCAGGAACCCTTTCGAATTCCCCATACAATAAGCCAAAACATGGCCGTGACTAAAGTCCCCAAGCATGAAGCAAAACACCTAAATTGGAAAACTAAAACGTGGCTCTAACAGCGCCTGGAATGGGATGCCACTGACAACAGCAGAGGCAGAAGCAGCAGCAGCAGCAGCGGGAACAGAGCCAAACCAAAATCCATTTAAAACCCTTGCCTCAACGGGTTTTTCGGGGTCCCTCGCTTGGCATAGTGCTTAAATAGCATTTTCTTGCAGTCAACAAAATAGAACACACAAAACCAAACCCCTCTCCAAAAAAAAAAAGAAAAGAAAAGAAAAGTTTAACAGTTCCAAGCTAATTTAAAAGTTACTAAATTCAGATCCCTCATCATTTGATGATACCCCCAATGTAATTGCCTGTCGAAATAGACAAAAATCCAAAAGAAAATACATAGGGAATATATAAGTTTATATAAAAAAACACCTTACACTTACAGCGTTGTTGTGATTCCAGAAGATATAGGCCGGCGGCTCAGGTGAGTTGAGTATGACACAGGTGAGATTTATGGTCGAGCCGCTTTCTATATACAAATCGGGTGCGCCAATTATTTCCGTTGAGGGCTCTGCAACGAAAATACAAAATAAAATTTTTCAGTTTAAGTACAATGCAATCGAATCATGAAACAATTGAAACCCAACCCTCAATAACAACAAGTAAGAGGTTCTAGTCGGGAGCTCCTCACTAGAGGATACCCTGAACCCTCTTCTTCCAAAATCAAATGCATATATATATTCTATTGTAGAAGCTATATGCCAAGTTTGGTGACTCTAGCTCTTATTATTTACCAAAATTGCCCAAAAAACAGGATATCGATATCGATTTTTATCGATTGCTTGGAAACGGAGTAAGCTATCGATTATCGGAAACAAACTCGATCTGCGCGGGAGCTAGGAGCACCTACATCTATTCAATTTAAAGTCTCTAGCTCTTATTGGTTCTGAGATCCTTGCGTTCATACATACGGACGGACGGACAGACGGGCATGGCTAGATCGACTCGGCGGATCAAGAATATATATACTTTATAGGGTCGGAGAAGCTTCCTTCTGCCTGTTACATACATTTGGATTTTGCACAAATACAATATACCCTTATACCCATTTTTAATGGGTCCAGGGTATAAAATATAAATTTTTTTCGCGCACTTTCAATGAAATGGCCCAAATGAAATAGCAATTAGGTAAATACACATTTTCAGTTTGGCTCATTGGAAATACAAGTGTAATTTAAATGCGCAACAATTTCAAAAGATTTTGCATTTTCCTACCCTTTACCTTGGCTTTCCCTCCCAGCGCCCGCTGACCCACAAGCACTTGAACTTTTCCCTCGACGTTGTAGCAAAGTTTAAAGTTTACCTTACATTTTTGCAAATGGTATTTATATGTAGGGCTGGCTCATCATCATTGAAATAAAGGCACAGCAAATTGTTTTCCCAAATTTCAAGCGAAAAACAACGTGAAAGAAAGTTTGTCTTCGGCACGCCGAAGACTCAATACCCTTGTAACTTTTAGCAAGTGTATGAGAGTTATAGTTTAGATGTAGTAAAACCCGAAGTGGGTCAAGATGTCTTGATCTATACGAAATAGTGGTCCGATACGGCCAATTCCGAAATACCTCTGCAAGGTATCAAGACAATAGACAGACAATTGGACATGACTATATCAACTCGGCTGTTGTATCTAATCTAGAATATATATATATATATATATATATATATATACTATGGGAGCAAAAGGTATCCTTCTGTGCTCAACACATTTCATGGCAAAAGTATAATATTCTGCTTGCATGCCTTTGGTACACAGGAAACCTCTTTTGGATAATAAAAATTCCGATATAATACAAACTATAATCAAACTCAAATATTTCATGAAGACAAACATCATTATCACTGCGTGTCCCTAATGTTATGTACAAGCGCGAATGATTACAAGCCCCAGCAAAATAATTATTATATTTTAGCTCAATTGCAGCTAATTACTAAAACTCCTTCAATATTCATTCTAATTATATTGAACCTGATTATTTGTCAGCCTTACTTTGTGGGAAATCCATTATCGAATGTGTTTACTGTCCCATTTATGATATTGGGCCTAAAGATGGCATACATATGTAATGTATGTCCAGTGCAAACTCTTAAGTATTCGAGTTGGTTGAGGCATGTCTGTCTCCTCCCCAATAAAATGCAAATCATCTTTCCCATTTTAATTACAGCGAAAATTATTAAAGAAAACGCTTGCAGCCATTTTTCATATATGTGTGCAATTATTAATGAACCAAGGACTGGATTAATCAGATAAGATACTTTTCCGATAAGATACTTTTTCTTTGATAGGACTTCTATCTGAAGAGTTTTTTAAAATTGTTTTTGATATGGTTTTCAGTTAAAAACTTCTTATTATTTTTAACCTTTCAACAAAAAAGTACCTCATCGGAAAAGTATCTTAGCTGAGTCGTTGCAATATCTTTACTCAAATTCGAATCTTAAACTAGTCGACTTAATTATCTCAATAGCTCGACGAGAACTTAATAGCTGAAGTCACATTTTCGTCTCAAACAAATGCTTTTCTTTCAGATCAAAATATTCGCCCATAAATTTGCGTACATTTAAAGTTTGATAATGAAATCCAGCACACACACACAGACACACACACACACACACACACACACACACTTACCGACAACAGTCAAGTGGATGTAGTGGCTCATGTGCGGCGTGGTTGACACTTGGCACTCGTAGATGCCAGAGTCTCGATGTTGGGGATATTTAATTTGAAGCATCCAGTCCTCGGTTTGGGGCTGATGTATGGCCCGAAAGCGCTGATCCGATGTGTACGTATAACGGCCGACTGTTAGCAAATGTATGTCCCGATGTCGCACCCAGGAGACCTGCAGCAGCATCTGAAAGATGAAATTAAATCAAAAGTTGAGGGCAAAACGAAAACGAGATTTCATTTGTTGTGGCAACCAAAAATTTGCATGTTTAGTTTAATTTATTGGGCAAACAGTTTACAAAGTCTATTTCATGCGCAATCTTTGACGTTGGGGCCTTTCCCCAAGTTTGGGTTCGGCAAATGCAAATTTCCTGGCAACTGGCAAAAAAAAAACTTTGACGCAGGGCAACACATGTGACAGCTGAGCATCTGGAGGGTTGGCCAGGCAGCGCCCATCCTTATCAGAGTGTAACTTGGCGCTGCCTCAACTCGAATTTGAGGCAAGCGCCACGCCCGCGCTAATGCACACCTGTTTGGCAACCACCTGCTGTTAACGTGTGTGTGTGTCTAAGCTCAACATTTTTAAGTGACTGTGATTTAGGGGCGTCTTCTCGACCGCCCCGCGCCGTCACATGTCGCATGTCATACGTCAGCTGTGTGCATTTTCATTTCCATTTTCTAATTTCAACAAGGCAACATGCTGCCTGACTACAGGCGCGACGGCAAAGTTAATGGACAAGAAACTCGTCGACGGACAGCTTGTGCAGGTGCCAGCCAGGCCTAAAGTTTGCCCAGCTCTTGAGCAAAAAGTTGCATGTAATTAACACCAAATGCTTAAGCAGCTATAAGACACATGCCACATTGCCCCAGCACAGCCCCAACCCAGCCAGCGAAAATGTACTTCAAAAGCGACGCCCTATTTTGGCCAAGTTTATGCGCATTATGCGTGTTTACAGTATCGTAAAATTTGTGTATCGATTGCAATGCCAGCCAAAATATACACTTTTTCGATGTTGGGCAAACAACATCAACGGCAATTTCTTTGACGTTTTTATAGCTCAATTTGCAGAGCGCACGAAAGTATGCTTTAAAATTTGTTAGACGCTTGTAATACTACACCCAGTCCGTTACCATTGTTAAGGCAAGGCATATACGCTGCAGCTTCAATCAAGGCTGCCAGCTTGACTTTAAACAAAATGTGAATGAAAAATCTTCAATGCAAAAAAAGTGGGTTATAAGCATTTTCAATGCAAATAGACTTATTCTATGCAGGGTATCTCAAAGTCGCATAGTCTAATGAACTAAACTTTTTCTTCAGACTTTACTTTTGCTTTGAATTATTTAGAGGCACTTTTTTGTTTGTGGTGTTGGCTGCCACGCCCCTTTTTGAACTCATTACCGCCCGCATGCGGCTATCAGCATCGACATCAGCCGTAAAATCGTCGACTCCGACTGCGACTCTAATGAAAAACGTCATTAATAATGTAGAAACATAAACATCAATTCGCCGTTTAACCCAGCTCGGCACACGCATTAAACAGAAGGTGGGACCTCAGATTTCTTTTTTTTTTATCTGTTGACTTGCTTAAGTTTCCCCCCTTGTTCTTGGTAAATCTCAGCCAGCCATGATGTATTACTTCATTGGCATGCAGCTGGGGTTTGGTGTTGGAATACCCTGACGGAAATGGAAATTGAGTTGAAAAGTTCAATTTTTGGCTTGTGGCATGCCACAAGGTGAAAGCTAATTAGACTGTCAGCTGACAGTGCAAGAAATTAATGTGCAAAAACCTTGGAAATTGTGTGAAAAATTGTCAGAAGTATGCATAAAAGGAAAGCCTTCTGCCCGTACTTAACTCAAGCTAATGAATGCTTTTTTTAATAAATTGGCTGCGTCTTGCTTTTAAAGCAAGTAATAATAAGTACCTGTACTTAATTAAACATAGTCGGAGAACTGACCCAAAGAGCAAAAGATTAAAGTAATATAATCTGAAAGTCTTTCTATCTGGAACATTATTATCATTGCCTTGCTGTCAGCTTATCTTTTTTGTAGCACAATTGCTGGCTAAATTAAATGCAATTTTATAGCAAAGCAAGCGCATGCCAGCCTTAAATGAATATTATATTTATTAACTGTCCACATGGACTAACTGAAATCTATTATTTCGCACCCGGCGGCAAGCCATAAATAATTGAGTGTGCCAGGCATAAAGAATCGTTAATTAACTCGACGGTTGTCTGCCGATGATCGATGAAGTTAGTCAACTAATTGGCATCTAATGGAGTTGCCAACAGTTTGTAGCAAGCCTGACCCAAATCTTTGTGTGCTGAAAACTATCTAGCGCAGGGCCTGAAAACTTCTCACGCCTCCCCCCCACCATCCCACCGACCAGCTGCAGACAGGCCGGAACGGGCCAGCTACTCGAATTTAATAATCACGCAAATTAGTTTTCGAAACCGCAAAGGCAACGTCTGTGCAGGTGGAGCCCACTTTGGGAGCCCAGGAACTGCCATGCAGACATGTAACATATTATTATCGGAAAATAAGCCCGGACCGTAGGCGGCGGCGGCACAGGAAGCAACGGAAACCAAATGACTACGGCGCAGGTTACAAAACTAAAACCCAAAAAAAAAAAAATAGCAACAAAAAAACACAAATCCCAGAGCAAATACAACAACAAAACGAAAGCGTTTGCATATATTTATACGTTGGAAAAATATTACGAAGAGGGCATATTAGTTGCAGCTAATTTATGTAACAGGCAGAGGGAAGCATGCCCTACCCTATTCTCTATATAGTATATATATTATTAATTGTATTATCTATATTTTTCATTTATCTCAAAAACTTTATGGAACCTGAAGTTTTTATTGTATTTCGAATTTTGTTTCATATGCATTTTCATAATATTCCTAAGTTTATCTGAAGGTTTTTTAAGCAAATATCTTAGCTTATAAGAATAAGAGGTAGGTTCTAGTATACCCCGATAATCTATATTTCACAATTCTCCAAAAGATTAAATAGAAACTTAAATAAAACCTAAACCGGAAGACTCTAGCGCACACATTTGGGTATCATATTTAATACGTGTTTATTTCAAAAGAATCGGACTCTAAATACCGAAGGTATTCAAAAAAGCCTTACCCATGGTGCGAGATGCGAGCCAAGGGCTAAAAAGCTCAGCCTAGTACATGTATATTTGACTAAATATGTGTGGGAGGAAGCTTGCATGAAATTAACAGCCTCTTAACGCTGAGTACAGGGTATCACGTAGTCGATAAACAGCAACTATTGCACGCTAACTTGTTTGTTTTTTATTTTGGGTTTTGTGGAGCTACCGTGTGGAAAGCGTCCCAGGAGTCGATTTGAATAGTTGGCCAGGTTTGTTTGGCTGGCTGAAGCCTAGGCCGGATGTGTTGTGGCATTGATGTTGGTGCGAGGTTGGGCGAGAGGTGGAGAGGTGGAGAGGGGGAGACTGTGCTTGTGAAATGTTTGCGGCATTTCCTGGCACACAGCACGACGAAGCCGAAAGTTGGCTAAAGTAAAATCTGTTTCCTGTTTCAGTATAATTAATCATTTTGTTTGGCAGCGGAACAATTAGCCAATGCCGCCATGTGGGCGCAGTTTACGTGCTAATTAGCTAAAAAACACGAAATGTAACTCGCACACACACACACACACACACACACACACACACTCGCAGACGCTTTGTAAATCGCATTTTGATGGCACATAATGACATAACAATTGCCAGAGCTGGTTCGTGTGGCTTTACTTACAGTTTTATTGCCCAGATTCTTGACGCGACAATTCAAATAGGCCGTCTTGCCCAGCAGCGCGGTCACATTCTTCGAGGCATTCCTGTCGAAGTACGGTCCACTGCTGCGCGAGTCCTCGCCCAGATCGATGCTGTTCCGATTGATGCCGGCAGCGGCGGCCAGCGATGCTATCGAGTTGCCTCTGTGCAGACTACTGCTGGCTATGCCGCTTCTTGCAGTTGTGGTTGATATGCTGGAGCCGGAGCTGGAGTTGGAGTTGGATTTCGAGCTGGAGCTGGAGCTGGAGCTGGAGCTGGAGCTGGAGCTGGAGCTGCTGTCGGTTGTCATGGCCTGGCCAGCGCCTGTCGCATGGCCATTTCTGTTGCTTCCGTTGCTGTTGGTTGTGCTGGTCATGCTTCCGCTTCCGGCAACACCATCTGCAGCTGCAGCGGCAGCTGCGTCCCCCTCACTTGGTATGGCATTATTGCTGCTGCTCATGTCCTTTGACTTATACGCGTCACGCTGCGCGGCGAGCACTGCAAAGGATAAAACACAGAGAAAAAAACAATGTAATCAGTGCAAACTGCGGAATACAACTCAATTGGCAATTAAAGCAGGACACAAGCCAGCCCTAACCTTCCCCCCCCCCCCTCTCCACCCATATGTATTTTAAACTGCAAACAATTGTCTCTCCACATTTTATTGCCACACATACTCGTCGCATGGCATGTGTTTAGGAAATCATTATTATAATTGCATCCGGTTCATATTTGAAAATGTTCGGATTTCCATTTCCGTATCGATTTCAGCATATGTGCTGCCAGGAATCATTTCAAATGTAACATTTGTATGTTTATTTTATCATGACTTTAATGTCAAACACTTGACAATCACTTAAATTTAAAAGTATTTTCTACTTGGCCTTAATGTAATGTAAATACAGACAATGTGAAAATATCAGCTTTGCGGACTTCCAAAATTATCTGAATTTATTTTGCATGACCTTGGTTGACCTTGATTATATTTAATGCCAAAAACCCTAAAATAAAATAAAATAATCTTTTTCTTACACATTCATATCCATTCAATAGACTTTCAAGTTAAACAATGTCAGAAATAAACAAGAGGTTCTAGTCGGGAGCTCCCGACTAGGCGATACCCTGAACCCTCTTCTTCCAAAATCAAATGCATATATATATTCTATATGTATTCTATATGTGTCAAGTTTGACTATAGCTCTTATTATTTACCAAAATTGCCCAAATAGCAGGATATCGATATCGATTTTTATCGATTGCTTGGAAACGGAGCAAGTTATCGATTATCTGAAACAAACTCGATCTGCGCGGGAACTAGGAGCACCTACATCTATTCAATTTAAAGTCTCTAGCTCTTATTGGTTCTGAGACTCTTGCGTTCATACATACGGACGGACGGGCGGATGGATGGACAGACAGACGGACATGGCTAGATCGACTCGGCTATTGATGCTGATCAAGAATATATATACTTTATGGGGTCGGAGAAGCTTCCTTCTGCCTATTACATACATTTGGATTTTGCACAAATACAATATAACTATTATTTCAACGTAAAATCAGCAAAAGTAACTGTTAACCCCTTCAAATATGGGCCAAAACCCATTCAAATAGCTTTTTATGGCCAGAAAATGAACACAGATATTAGGCATTTATATGAATTGAGGGTCTAACTTACGAAAATAGCCTTCAAATGGTTACATAAACAATTCGCAAAAATCGAATTACAAACTTAAATGGGCACCTTTCGTATGCCATATCGTTAGCATAATTGTTCAATTAGTTCAGTTTTGGCCATAACAGCCTTAACTGGGTTTCAACTTTTTGGCCCGTTCAGAAAGCACATGTTAAACTTTTTGTGTTTAAGCCAGAATGCAGCACATTGTTTGCTTTCCATCGATAACACAAACACGCTAACACACACACACACGCTAACACACACACACACGCTCAACGAGTTTTGGCTCGAATACCTTGCAACCATTTAGGTAATTAGCAAATTACGCACACAAACAGCCGCACACTAACACCCACACAAACACACACTCGCACACACAAATACACTCACACTCACACACACACACACACACACACGTACTCTGACTTTGTAGTGCGCATAGCGCATATATGGAGCATAAACTTTCGTTTCGCCATTTTTTTTGTTGTGTGTTTTGCGTTTATCAAATTTTCATGTTTTTGCCACACACACACAAGCTACAGCAGAGCCTCGCTATAGCGAAAACCCACTCGGTAGCTGTTGGCTGTTCTTGTGCTCAGTTACGACCAATTTTTATCCAGCGCCATTTATCCCATCACTTAGCAAGGACGACGCCGATACGTCTGCTTAAGACACATACACATGTTTCTCAGTGTGTGTGTGTGTGCATTTGTTTTCCTATCTCAAGTGTGCGTGTGTGTGTGAGGCCTGGGCACTTGATTCGCTTATTACGCCCAGCCAGAGTCTTTTTATGGCACTGGCGACCGTTTTATAGTTGGCAGCCAGCGACTTTATTAGATTAAACATGTTGTGCACGTTGGCCCAAGACTGTCGGCCACACACACACACACACACGCACACACAGACTCGCACGCTCACACAACTTATCTAGCTCGTTTGTTGCGTTGTTAGTCGCCCCGCCCCCTGGTCGTGTTTTTGCCAGATAAGACGCATATCCTAGCTGCTGCATGTGGCACTAGTTGTATTGACAGCGCGAACAACAACAATAACAACAACAACAAAGGAAACAACAACAATAGCAGCAAGACGAAAATGTTTCGATTGGCATGCCTGACTGCGCAATACTCTATATACTCGCCATATCTTAAGCTGTAACTCAAAGAGAGTCTCTCTCAAGCTGGAAACCTTGACTTGATCTATAAAGGCGATCATAATTAACACTAGCTTACACACAGAGAGTACCTCGACATACCAAAAAGCAAACTATGTTTTGCGGCTTAATTATTAAAAATACCGCATTTTATCACAAGCTACATTTGCCAGATATTCAAGTTATCCAAAGCGTCAAAATGTTCGGAAATAGATAAATACGTGAATTTTAAAAATGGTAATCGTTAGAGACAAAAAGCGGCAATAATAATAATAATAATATTTATTATAAAACAATAAAAATAGAAGTGTGACTGTGCTGTTTTAAAAAGCAGATTTTTTCACCAAAAAAAAAAAAAAAAAACAAAGAAATGTAAGACGAGATCATTAATGAAACATTAAGAGAATTATAATAATATGTTTGTATACATTATATGATACACCTATAAAAACTGAAAGGAAAAAAACGGTTTCCACGAATAACTCAAAAAACTATATTTCTTTATAAACAAATAAATACTAGGTAGTCGAGGCTGATCTGAATAAATAAGAAACATTTCTTGTTAACTAGTGTGCCAATGCTCTAGCTTGAAGACTGCCGAATATTTATAATTCAGAATTTGTGACTGAAAAAATGCCGTCATATGCAAATTCTCTTGAAACAAACAAACGAACATTGCACCACTAATATACTCGCTTGCCCGTCAAATTACAGAGTATAGCAATAGCAGCAACCAGCGTGCGCAGCGTCTCTGCGTCAACGTCTACGTCAACGTCTACGTTGATTTTCCCGTTCGCTGGTCAATTGCCAAGGCAAGCAATGTTGCTAATCCGTTGCAGCAACGCTCAAATCCCGACTGGCTTTGGCCGTCTGTCTCGGACGAGCCCAACCCCCCCTCTACTGGCAGTACACCCGACCCGCTTCAGGATGGTGTCTGTCTGGAAAAACAACATGATAAATAAAGTGCCGCTGGCTAGAAATTAAAATAAATTGACTGCTTGGGATGCCGCAACCGCAATCGCAACGGTAATGACAACAACAACAGCACCAACAACAACAACATAAATTAGAGCTTCAATATACTTGCTAAAAAGCGCCCTGCAGAAATCAAAAAGTCATATGCCGGCTCGTTACGACGTCAACGTCAGCGCCAGCGTCGGCGTCAGCGTCAGCGTCAGCGTTGGCTCTGAACAAGAGCCGACCGCAGGGCATGTTCCTGTTGCTGTTCTTTTTCTTTTGCTTGTTCCCGTTACGGCTGCTGTTGTTGTTGTTGTAATTTAGATTGTTGTTGCTGTTGTTGTTATTATTAACATGGCGCTGTTGTTGTCAGAAACATTTGAAATGTCAAAACTTTTGCACACTTTCGTGTTCGCCTCTGTACGTGAAACGTGTACACAAGTGTGTGTGTGTTTGTGTGCGTGTGAGTGTAAGTGTGTGGGCGTGCCTGCCTTAGCCAAAATGATGTCTCGAAAACTTTTAAATTTTTAAATTCACTCAAAAATGTTGAATTCGTTGTTGTTCGGTTTTGTGCAGACGTCAGCCAAACACAAGAAACTTATTTAAATATTTAAAGGTATTGCGCTCGTGCGGATGCGAATGCGAATGCGAATGCGGAGCTTTTATTGTTGTTGTCGCATTGTTGGTAAAATGAAATTTAGCAAAGTATGCGCTAAATGAAATGAGAAAAGTCGCGTGCTGTCTGTTATTTGAATATTTGTTCGTTCAACTTACTTTTGTTGTTGTTGTTGTTGTTGGTTTTTTTTCTTTTCTGTTTAGTTATTTATTTATTTTCTGCTTGATTGGGGTTCCCGACTCTTGGCAGATGACAAAACTGTTGGCAAAATTTTGCTGTGACATTTGCTCGACTTCAAAAAGTTCGCCAAGTTCCAAGTTCACAATTTTTACACAAGTTTTAAATATTCAAAAACAATAAATAATAATAGCTAATTTTTATATATACAAATTACCAAATTCTAAGTGGGAAGACCCCTGTCGGCAGAGACATGCAGGAAGACCCCTGCCGAAACAACCCTGCTTTCTTATAAGACGCCATTTTGTACAGCTGATAAGAAGATATTAGCCCACGGAGCTCGAAGAATATTATAATATTATTATTGGGCCTTTATCCAATTTTGTTCTACTATTAAAAACGAAAATCTAAAAGAATTTTCAATCTAAAACTGAATCCTTTTCAATCCATTAACCCAATCGAATTGAGTTAACCAATATGTCAATTCCTCTATTATTTCCCAATTTCCATTAGAAAGGCATATTTCGAACTATAAGAAATCCTGATATCTATGTGAACTATTTAACCAAAAGCCTGCATTTGCTATTTTAAAACTGAAATATCACAGATATAACAGACAATTAATATAACATAATCATATAAACTGATTACTTTTCCATTGGACCTGGCCAGTTCATTAAGAACTAATGATCATATGGCCCACTAGCCGACCCACTCAGGTGGCCCAAAGCCCAGAGGCAGAGGCTCGTCATTAAGCGAGCACACGGCATGTGGAAAAATGAAAGTGAGCACACACACACACACACACACACACACACACACACACACACACACACACACACACACACACACACACACACACACACAGACACACACATACACTATGCTGCAGTTACTCATGCAGATACTCACGGTTTGGCTCACATTCACTCAATCAGGGCATGAAAATCGCTGGGGATTTTGATGTACAGGGCGGGCAGGGGTGGGCAGGTCCCGGACCTGGCCGAAACATTGATTTCCCCAGACTTAACGGGCGCACAAAATTAATTACCTAACCTAAAAACTCAGCGCCGACAACAAGAATTATGTAAGGCTGAAAAATGCCAAGTTGCCAGAGCTGAGTTTCCATTCGCTTTTACACGCTCAACTCATTGGGCATGACAATGCAATGAATGATACCGAAAAATGGAAATCAATAAATGAAATTGGTCAAATCAATTTGACAACAATTGCAATTTGCTTGGCGAGAGGCAACGAAATTTGATTACATGGGGGCCAAGCTGATGTGAAGGGGCAGAGAATGAGAATGAGAATGGGAATGAGAATGGGAATGGGAATGGGAATGGGAATGGGAATGGGAATGGGAATGGGAATGGGAATGTGAATGTGAATGTGAATGTGAATTCCACTGTCACTTACCGCCATTGCCGGATATCACAACGATGACAATCACGAACAGGCTGAGCATTATCAGGACCCGCTGGCAGCTGCTCCTTCGGCTGCTCCGGCTGCTGCTCCTGCTGCTGCACTCGACGCTGGCTACCGTCGAGCAGGTGGGCCACAGACGTGTGCAATTTGTGAATATCTCCTGTTCCCCTTCCCCTTGTCCTTGTGCTTGCCCTTGTCCTGTCGAACGTTGTCCTTGTCGTTGTTTTAAATTCGTTTGTTGCGGCTGCCGTTGGCGCGTTTCCATTTGAAAAGTTGCCATAATATTTCACTCGTCCTTTTGGGTAAGTCCTGCTGGCACTCTCGCTCAGTTGTTGTTGTGCGCACTTGATTCTTTTTGGCAACTGTATAAGTTGGGGGCGTGGCTGGTCGCCTTATTAGCGCCTGCCGCCATACCGCCGCGATGCGTGAAATTGCCGAGAGCCGGCTTACAAATTGCCCGGCTTGCTCGGGGCCCGATTCCAGTTCCTGTTCCGGTTCAAGCTCGAGCTGCGGCTGCTTCTTCTTGTTGTTGTTGTCCTTAGTCCTGCTGGCCTGCTGGCAAACTACTTAGCATTTGTTCTGCTCGGCTGGTGCTGAGAAATCGCTGTCATTTTTCCAGCGATTTATATTCTATTTAATTCTACTTGAACACGATATCGCTGGGCATCACTTCATCTTCATTAGCGGCCGGCGCAGGATTCTGATTGCGATTGTCCTTCGTGCCTCGTCCTTCTATATCGTCGGCAGCTGCAACGATGGTAAGCAAAACAAAAAGCATGTTTGGAAAATGTTTGGAATTTCATTAAAAATTCAAATGTCAAAGGCAAAATAAATGGAAATTTGTGACTGTGCCGGCACGTTCGCTCCCTCTGTATAGCCTCGTCCTGTATGTCCTGTGTATTCTGTCTAGGTGCAGGCAGTCTGAGACACATATTTAATATATTATCCTCTGTTTGTTTGCCTTATGAATGTAACAACAACAACAACAACAACAACAACAACAACAAGAGCAAAAAATGCCAAATGTTTCCTTCTAAGGAAAATGTTGCCCCAAAAATGATAATCAAAACGGGATGCCTTGGCAAACAATTTTTTAATGAGAATCTATGTTATTTTCCTTACATAATTATCATTAGAATTTGTGGAAATCGCATTGCCAAAAGCCAACAACAAAATATTCCCGCTGCACAATTTCTTTCTTTTCAAATATTTTGCCTGAATCTCAGTTACGTCAAAGCTCTCCTTTTATTTAATATAATTTTTAAGCTGATGTTTCTTATTCTTGACTGCGTTTTTCCATAACTCTAAACTAAGACAACTTAACTAATTTATTTAAGCAGTACATTTAACCCTTCAGCTTTTGCACTTCAATTAGAGGCAAAACTTCTCTCAACTTAAAAGCAAATAATTAAAAGTTCTAAGGTCCTAAGTTTTTCAAAGTTACTCAGTGTACTTAAAATAATTAGAAAATATTAGCTATCCGGGCATCATTTGTTATTATTAACTATTGTAATAAGTCATTAGATGCTTTTACTCATAGTTTTTCTTTCACTTGCGAACAATTTTGCTTTGTGTTCATTCACAGACATATTTCCTTTTTATACCCTGAACCCATCAAAAATGGGTATAAGAAGTATGGGAAGCTTCTCCGACCCCATAAAGTATATATATTCTTGATCAGCATCAATAGCCGAGTCGATCTAGCCATGTCCGTCTGTTCGTCTGTCCGTATGTATGAACGCAAGGATCTTAGAACCTATAAGGGCTAGAGATGTAGGTACTCATAGTGTCTGCGCAAATCGAGTTTGTTTCCGATAATCGATAACTTACTCCGTTTCCAAGCAATCGATAAAAATCGATATCGATATCCTGTTTTTTGGGCAATTTTTGCAAATAATAAGAGCTAGAGTCACCAAGCTTGACATCTAGCTTCTACAATAGAATATATATATGCATTTGATGTTGGAAGAAGAAGGTTCAGGGTATCGCCTAGTCGGGAGCTCCCGGCTAGAACCTCTTACTTGTTCCTTTTTTTTCTGCTCCACTCAACTTTTGTATAAACTTCATTTACAAGTACATTATTAGTATGAGAAGCTTCATTGTTAATAAGTCTCAATCTGAACTCTTTGAAAATAAGGAATATATATATATAATTGATCAGAAGGACGAGCTTATTAAGTCTAGAGTCTTGTAATATTTAAACAATATTCTCGTATATCAAACGCAGAGCAAATGCAGCCTTTGCCATTCCCAGAATATTAATAAGTATAGATATTGCAAGAATTGTTAAGCATAACTCGAAAAATATAAGATCTAAATATATGTACTTATATTTATACCCTGGCAGAGGGTATTATAATTTTGTGGTCAAATGTGTAACGCACAAAAGGAGACATCTCCGACACCATAAAGTATATATATTCTTGATCAGCATCAGCAGCCGAGTCGATATAGCCAGGTCTGTCTGTCCGTCGGCAAGTCTTTCTATTTCTATGCGAACTAGTCCCACAGTTTTAAAGCTAGACATACACATATCCCCACTAGCTATATGATAAGCTGCCATAGGAACGATCGGTCGAAACTTAGGTTGTTGTATGGAATACTTTTTTGTTTGTCAAGATATCTTAACCATACTAGGCCTTGACTATTTTCCCTGGGCTTTTAGGTACGGGCAAAGATACGGCATAAGCATTAAGAAAAGGTTGGGTCTGCCAGGGTATTAAATCTTCGGCGTGCCGAATACATCCCCTTTTTCTCGTTAATTACTAAGCAGACTTGCTAAAGGGCAAATATGGTTTTAGATTTCAATTTAATCTGGGCAAGGCCTTAATTAATTATAAATTACACAAAAATACTTTCGATTTGCAGTGCGAGAGATAACTCAGAGGGGATCATAAAAGCAAACTTTTTACAAAAACTAAAAGCATTTACTCGCAAACTAAAGAATTGTTTAGATTCGATTTACTTAATTATAAGACTTTTCCTTCTGTTGCCCAAGAAATAAAATATTATTAATATTATATAATAAATTAAGTTTATGTATGTTAAGTATTCTTTCCCTAGTATGAGTGTTATTTATATGTGAAACGCTTGTTACAGACTGCATCTTGTTAACAGTAGTGCTTAACATAATGCTTAACATACATGGGACCTGCTGCCAGAGTTGCCAAGTATACCTCTGTGAAAGCATGCCATTCATAATGTGAATTCCCTATCCTACTATAGCTCGGCCATTCTGACAGTCGTTTCCCCTGAGACTGTCACTTACAATAGTTATCATCCATCTGTTTCTTAGTTCAACAATGTTTGACTCTTTATATTGATGATTTCGGCTTTATTTTGATTCCCAGCCAAGGTCGTATATTTTAGCATTCCATATAGCCTGCATTGGATTATGTTATACCTGAAATCCTTCTGAAATATATTCCATTTCAGATGAGATTTTCTTACTTTAAGCTAAAAACAACAACTTTCAACATTATCACGTAGAATTCTAAGAATTGTAACCTTATCAATAAGTAACCTAAAGTATGTTATTTTCGAGAAATAAAAATGTTTTCCGTGCACAGCTACGACTAGATTTAAGAGAAATTCTAAAAAAAAAACAAATCCTTTGGAAGCTGCTGCATGCCGCAGGGGATGTTGGAGTGCAATGCCAAAGCTTGACGTGAGCAAGAAGTCGGCCACGCCCCCGCAGGAATTACATCCTGACCGCAACAATAAGGCATTTGTTGGTGGTGGTGGGGGGTTAGCCAAGGTAAGCAACTGGCTCAGGACTGCCACAAGCTATATATATATATAAATATTTTTTAGCTGTAATTAGTGTCAAGGTGGACGTTGCGTATACGCCGCGTGGGTCAAGGGAAAAGCGCAGCGCCTGGGTTAAGCAGCCAAAGCATGTCACGTTGATGTTGTAAGTGCCCGGGCGTGTCCGTACAGTTTGCCAGCCCTGGATTCGTTCTGGATTCGCGATGCATAATTAAACCAGATCGCCTCATTATAATTTCCATTAAAAAGTGCGTTGCCACAAAACAAAAAAAATGCAGTTCGAGGCGCTGCGCAACACACACTCCTGTTTCCTTCTGGCCAAATGGAAGAGTGTATATATATACTATATATATATATATATATATGTATATATATGTATGGGTCATTGGCAGCGTTGACAGCAGGGGGGCGGGGCGGTACGAGCACGCCCCGTCGCCTTCAGTTAATTAATGAAATATGCAGGCCGTGTAATTATATTTGATTAAAAACAATACGCACTGGCCCAGTATAAATTTACTTTAATTATATTCGCATTGCGCGCGTTTCCTTTGTTACACATTTTCACATTTATCATATGCATATTAAATGCACTTCTCTCTTCTTTTATCGTGCTTTTATTTGTTCTCAATATATTTATAATAATATTGAAAAGTATTGTAGCAAAAAATAAACTGTGGCGACAAAAACCCAATTTGAATAAATGAAAAACAAAAAAAGAAAAACTATTTCACGCCGGACAAAAACGCTTAATCCGGATGATTTGAACTGATCAATATATATATATATATGCATATAGATTCACGTTCACAGATAATCTGCGATGCAACAAATAAGCTTAAAATGGAAATGCAAATTTACAAATTCCACAATTTATTCCATTGGCATAAAAAAAGGTTTTCGTGTCAATGTTAAAACTGAGAACCTTTGTCTGTGTCCGCCAGCAGCTCTTACGTAATTGTGTATTGTCCCATTTTTAGGCCAGATTATTATTTGAAATATATGTATTTTCCCATTGAACTCATTTTATTTTTGTATACAATTTCATTCGAGCCCTGCTCAAAGTTTCAAAAAAAGTCTTCAACTGGAAATTTGTATTTATGAACATTTTAACCTTGCTGAGTTTGAGCCCAGGCACATTTTCGAAAAGCTTCATTTTGAACTTCAGAAAAATAAAAACATGTCTGTTATCAAAGTATTCAAAGTACGCAAATAAGAAGCGTCGGGACTTGGTATTGATTATTTACAAATAACTTCTAGAGTTTAAATATATATATATATCAGACTTACTCATTACATATTTCTATATATACTGATAGACTGATTGACTGACTGACTGACTGACTGACTGACTGACTGACTAACTGGTGATTGATGCTAGAAAGTGGAAATTTCTAATATTTCTAATATAATATTATTACCTCGAGTGATGAAGATGCATTCAATTTAAGCACTTTTGTAAAAATGCATCTGATTCATATGCGTAAGTTCCCAAAATACTTCACCCCTCTTGGATAGTGCCCGACTGCGGGATGCCCTAAAGCTTCTTCGAGCAACACCAAATTCAGCCATGCTAGACTCTATACATTCTGCCCCTAGTTATTCGCTTGGCAGAGATCAGAAGACACACAAAAAACGCCATAAAATGAAAGATAGTTGACCTGCATATGCTATTCTAGAAGCTACATGGCAACTTTGGTGACTTTAGCTCTTGAAACCTATGGGATTAGCTCAAAACACAGGATTTCGATATCGATTACTTCGATATATTGACAAGTTATCGATTATCGAAAACAAACTCGCACTGCGCAAGTACTAAGTGGACTCATGTCTAATTTCAAGTCTCTAGCTCTTTTAGCTTCCGATATCGACGATTTTATACGTACGGACGGATGAACGGATAAACGGACGGATGGACGGATGGACGGACAGACGAACGGACGGACGGACGGACGAACGAACGGACGGACGGTTGGACGGTTGGACGGACGGACGGACGGACGAATGGACGGATGGTCGGACGGACGGACGGACGGACAGACGGACGGACGAACGGACAGACGGACTGACGAACGGACGGACGGATAAACGGACGGACGAACGGACGAACGGATGGACGGACGGACGGATGGACAGGGCTAGAGCGACTTGGCAATTGAGACTGATCAGGAATATATAAGCCCTATTGGGATGCTTTCTATCTATTCTATTCGGAAATGCTTTCTATCCGTTACAAGACAACATAAAGAGCTTATATTGTCATTTCCAACTGTTAAAAGTTTCTTCCTTATTTTACTTCCATAATTGGTCAAGTTGTTCACATCAGAATACTATGCTAGCTTCTCTAGAGATCTATAGAGATCTAATTAGATAAAACCCTTCTTAACATTCTCCAATTCTTATAAATTTCCCACTGTTATATCTTGCTGCTGCTGCCAAATCTGACTCACAAATCTGAAGAGTAGCTCAAGAACTTTTTCACTCGAACGGATATTCGGCTCACAACATAGAATCAATTAAATCAATTGATTAATTAATTGAATATGTGTGCGAGAATGTTCACTCATCGACTTACCGCAAATATATATGTTTTATGCCGCATGCCTCAAACTCCCCAATTTCCTCTGCCCCCCGCCCACCCTTGCCTTTAACCCCCGCCCCGCCCCGCCCCTTTGACCAACCGCTGTTTGTCATCGTCAAATAAACCGCAAACAAAGTTAAGTAAACCAGAATTACGAGACACGTGTCTGCTATTAATATAAACACCCTTTAGGTATACCCTGTGTTCTCTTCCTCTTTTTACCAGGCATTACTTACGCCACTTGACGATTATCTGTATTATCCAAACGATAGAATACGAAATTATCAGCTAATTAGCTTAAATATTAAATGGAATTTACCTTTTTTTTTATAGTTGCGAATGTTACACCTGAGCGTGTCTAATGTTGTTGTAATTGTCGCGGGTTAAGTGAATTTTGTTTTTCAATTGTTTGACATAAAGTTAGTTCGTTGGATGCTTTGCTGAAGTCTTGCAAAATGCTTTAAAATCACACTGAAAAATCAAATCAAACACAGGAAAAATAAAGGTTAAGGTTTCATGGACATTGGAATGGGCTTTTGGTCAAAGGAAAAGCGTAGCATAAAATGCGGCGCAAAATAATTTCTTTATCCCTTTTTTTTTTTTTTTTTGGCACAGCTCGCATAGCTAACACATGTGCCAGATCTGGCAACCCTTCATGCATTTAATGTTTTCCTTTGCGGGCCGGGCCTGTCTGCGGTCCCGGGGTTGCCAGCCGGGCAAGCGATTTTTTTCAGTAGAAATGCAAATCGTAACGGTTGTAATTTATGTGTCAGCTTAGGCCAAACAGCCCGGAAAGTTAATCCAAAATTTGCTAATTTACTGCGTATTTTTTTTTCTCATATTATAAGTTAATTTATTGAAACGTTGTCCAACACTTTAATTTGCTTGAAAACAACACTTTAAATACTTTTTCTTTTATTGTAAAATGTGTCCACATTTAAAGACATTCGAATTACAAAATGTATGACACATTTCACTCCTAGCTCAATTTATAACAACAGTTTCTAGGTTGGGTATTTACAAAAAAAAAAGCACTTTAATCTAAAACTGGCAACGAAAAAAAGGGGCCTAGCTTGTTTTTGTTGCGGCCTTCATGATCAAAAACAAAATATTGTGTGCCTGGCTGTCCTTGGCTGGCCATACGCCCACGTGCGTAAAGTGTGCCGAATTTTGATGAAATCTGTACCCACTGTACGAACAGATGTTGTGTTTCATTTTAAAGCATTTTCAAAACTGTTAGTTTAACACTTTTTTTGTGGCGGCACAAGATTAACGGCATTCATTAGGCATTTTCTTCATGTTATCGAACACTGTACACACTTTAGTGTTGCATATAAATTTGTATTCGCGTTCTCTCTCTCTCTCTCCTCTTTCTTAATTTTTTGCTTTGATTACTTGACTGCTATTTTAGCTTAATTATTTATTTACCATTGCACATTGAATAACTTTTACTTTCAGCTCGTTGTCGCACACACACACACACACACACACACACACACAGCACGTGCATATGTATGAGAGCTGGCTATTTGTATGGCTGTATATGTGTGGGAGAAATGTCTTTAGACTGGGCCAAAGCTATGCGGCTAGATCTACCGTTAGAACGACCGAACGACACGACTGCACTAAATATACTGAAACAGGCACTCGAACACACCACAACAAACGAGCGAGGGCCAAGGCACGACGAGCCCGACAGCGGACGCGTCGGCAAAGCCAAAGGCGCTAAGGAGAGCGCACAGAAAGAGAGACAGAGAGCGAGAGAGAGAGAGAGAGCTTTTGGCACAGTGGTGCAAAGTTTAGACAACAAGTGTGCCAAGCACATATTCCATGCGCTCTTTCAACTTTCGAACTTTCCATTGTGAGCACTCTCTTAAGCTATCATGCCGGCGCACATTTCATATGCAAATGCTCTTAAGGCCAAAGTTACGGTTAGTCGATAAAAAATTAGGTCCCAGTTGCAAATGAATTAATTTCACTTCAATTGCAAGTGCTTGCAGAGCGCAATGTTTGTTGTCTCACACACACTCTCACGCACGCACACACACACACACACACACACACCTTCAGGCTGAAAGAGACACTACCGAAGCACTTTGGGCACATTCATTTCCTTGGCTGTCTGCCCAGATCAAGCCAAAGCTCACACTTCCCTCCGATGGTTCGCAGCCCGATTTCTATTCAGTTAACTGACTTTGACATTTGCACAAAAATAAAAAAAGGGCTTAAACAGCAGTAAACCGTCTATTGTTAGGGCCTATTTAATATTTTTTGTAACGATTCTAAATATTTTGACTTCGAATTAATTGTACTATCTACGAGGCATAAATATCCGTTTAAATATAGATATGTCCGTTTGATATAGATATAGAAATATATATATATATATATAGTTATAGATATATATATTGAATTCGATTCTTTTTCGTATGAAGAGTTCTGTTTGCATTCTATCTAATAATATCTTAACTAATCTGTTCTATGCCCAGTGTTGATAAATGTTCTCCAATATCGGTTTACAAAAGAAATATATCCATTAAGTTATTGTATGGAAAAATTGTTTGTTTTTCAAGATATCTTGACCAAACTCGGCATTTATTAGTTTAACTATGCTCCTCATATAAATGCAAAATTCTATCAACATCGGAATACTATATCATAAAGCAAAAGGGTATTAAATCTTCGGCGTGCCTAGGATAGACCTCCTTTCTCTCCTCATTTCATAATCCTAAGAGAATTGCAAGCTTCATTCAGACGAAGGTACTTTTTTTCTTTCGACGCAAGATTATATCTGTGCAGGAATATACATATATCCATATTTTCAGGAATATATCTGTGCATTTAATTTATAAATAATTGAAGCGCGCATCTTTTTTATTGCCAAACTAAATCTCCGCCCGACACAACATTTCACCTGGACTCTTCGCATTTGTACATCTTGCGTATTTTGAACAAATCCCCCTCGGACGGGCCACGCGTCTGTCCCATCTCGCGCTCGACGGGATTACCATCGATCAGGGCACGCATTGTGGGCTGGCTGGGATCCTTGGCAAAGGCGTTCTTCGGATAGTGCATGACGCTCTCAAAGTCGTAGGGCACATCATAGGTGGTTGTCGTGGACTCTGAGGTGGCCATGAACTGTGGCCAGTATTTGCGTGGAATATTATCGTAATCAACCACAACGTGTTCGTCGCGATCCGGACGACTCTGCTCGTGGTACAGGCCCAGCACATGGAGCGTCTCGTGCTGTATAATGCCCGGCGTGGCCAAACACTTCGGCGAGAGCTGCACATCATGCGAGCCGGCGCCCAGGAGCGGAATGGGATTATACCCGATCCGGGTGCCGCACAACTTGGCCGACTTCTTGTAGTAGACATAGCGACTGCCCGCCGGAGCCGCTCCCGACAGCTCCTCGAAGCGCAGGCACGTCCGCTCATTGAAGGTGGCCACAGCGTTGCGCACATTGTCCGCCTCCGCCGGACTCAGTTCCCCGGCAATGCGATAGTATAGTCGCCGGCTGGGCCACAGCTGGAGCGGCGAGCGCATGGCATTGCGGGTCTTGATCTCCGCCTGTTCATCGTCGATATCGATCTCGTTGTAGTAGTTCTCAAAATACTCCTGGCCCTGTGCACCGACAATGGCCACCAAGCCCAGCAATGGAAGCCACATTCTGTCTGAATTCCAAGCAGTTGGCTTTGGTTTTTATACAGTTGCGTCCCAATCAAAATGCTTTTATAATGATTTCTTTAAAATATAATTATCAGTTTTGTGTTCGCAAACTAAGGTTTCACATGCATAAAGATAAGTATGTGTGTGTGTGTGTGTGTGTGTGTGTATGTAGACAGATAACAACTAAGTATTAGCAACACATTCTTATGCAACTATTCGTCTCGATAAGCCTGCTCTCCAATGCAATTGCTGTTCCCATGGAGCCAAATTCGACATTATCCGTAACACAATTTGCATAATTTAACATAGATAAAATATTTATATACTACGCCTGCACACACACACACACACACAGACACACAAAGCGTGTGCGTGTGAGTGTTGTGTAAGGTCGGTAAATCGTTTTTTGTATGCATGACAATGTAATTGAATCATATAACGGCTACACTGCTGGCCAGAAAAAGTGTCGCGCCTGTGCCAGTCAAATCTGACAAGCTTCCTTTACAGTTCCTGAGTAATTAACTGAATACAATCGGAAATTCGGATATCATATTTGAGCAAAATCAAAGTGCATTTCGTTTTATCAAAGTCGCACGCTTAAAATATTATTACCACTTATGTTGAACACGACAAACTTAACTTAGTTTTTAAAATAATCAAGAAAACTGTTGATTTTCGTGGTATTTTTTAAATGCTCTTAAAATGATTTAAACATATTTTGCAAAGTTTTTCACTCTAGGTTTTTATAAATCAAGCCTTGATCAAGTTTGATTTGAAACATTAAACTAAAACCGATAAATTATTTATTTATGAACGAGCTAAAAGTAATTATACAGCAAATAAGGGCTTAAGCTTGAAACCAAGTATTGCTTTTCATTCATTATACATTAAGAAAATCGCACAGAATTTACATTTATTAAATGTACTAATATGCTTTAAATTTGTATGACAATAAACAAAACGTGTAAAGCTCAATTCACAATGTTAACCACTTTTTCTGGCCACCACTGTTCTTCAGTTCTGTATGTATGTATGCTGCTCGTGGCAGATGCATATTCGACACGTCCTAATGCATAACATTAGACTGACAATTGCTTCTGTTCCATAAACACAACCCAAAGGCCTCCAAGCACCTGGCATATGCCCCATCTACTCGCATGCGTTTCGATATTTTCTCGTTACATTTAAAAACATATTACAGTGCATAATGTATGTATGCGTATGCATATGCTTATTCTAAGTTTCTAGAAATTAGCCGGACGCTTAAGCTGTGGATCGTACCAATTATCGTTCGAGTGTATCAAGAATCGAGTCAAGCAATTAATATAAAATATATTATTATAGTATTTGCTTCAAACTCTGCTCCGGCTCAGTTGGCGGGGGCGGGGGCGGGTTCGGGTAGGGGAGGGAGTACACACTAAATACGCGTAACAATACGCCGCATTGGCTGGGTCGCGGCAGCTATGAGGACTTGGCTGCAGCCCAAAGGAGGCGTGCATATGTATATGTTTTAGCTGCCCGACTGCGCCACGTGGCGTATACATAATATTATTATTATTATTATCATAATTCATACATACAAAAGAAAAAAATTAGATTAGCAAGAACACAATTAAAACACATTTTGCAAGCAAAATAATAAACAGCGAATTTCAGTTGTAGTTGGATGTCGTCATCGTCGTTGTCGTTGTTGTTGTTTTTTGTTTTGTTTTTCTTTGTTTCTTTTTTTTTTTGTTTTTCATTTTCGTTTTTTGTTGTTGTTGTTGTTGTTTAACTGACAAAACCGTCATCGTCATCATCATTATCATCAGCAGCATCATCTTAGTCAAACTTGTCGTCATTGTATTCAATCCTGATCCTGGCGCCAGGATTGGGCACTTCGCTTGCAAACATCACAAATCAGTTCCTAGTCATTAGTAACGCTCTCCGATCAGCTCTCTATATTTATAATAGTAATAGTAGTAGGTATAGTAGTTGTAGGTATATTATGTCTATCCACGTGGCATGGCTTCGATGGCGGGTGGGCGGGCGGTCTCTGTGTGTGTGTGTGTGTCCGAGTGTGGATGTGCCCACAAGCGTCGCCTAGTGCAGCTCAATGAACTGGTAGAGCGCCGGCGGCACAGTCTTCTGATACTTGATGCCATGCTGCTTGATGGTGCGCGCCGCCAGACACGCAAGCGTTGTGTACTTCATCGTGTCGATGATCTTGTGCAGAGGTGTCGGCGCCAGCAGCGACTCGAAGGTCTCGCCCGCATCGTTTTTGGTGTCCTGCAAACCGTCGTCATCTGATTAGTTATCAAAATAGCTGAGGTATATATTGTGGCACTCACCAGATGTGCGCCACCCTCGAGCAGCGTGTGAGCCAGCGGCTCGACATAGAGCTGCAGCGTGGCGGCCAGATGAAGCGGCGTATTGCCCGCATCGTCCACGGCATTCGGATCGGCGCCCACTTCCAGCAGCGCCTTGGCCAGCGATGCCGATGGGAACTGGCACGAGGGATAGCGACCGACCAGGGTGCCCTCGCGATAGCAGGCATAGTGCAGGGCTGTGCGACCGCAGCGCACGTGCACCTTGAGACGATTGAGGCGATACAGGGCGTTCATGATCTGATGCCGCATTTCCGGACAGAAGCTGTCCGCCTCGAGCAGCGAGCTGAGCAGGCAACCGATGTGCAGGGCACTGACCAGAGTGCGGCTAAGTGCATTGGGATCATGATTGCAGTCGTGCTGATGCGCCGACAGCAACGTGGTCGACGATGAGCCGGACGTTGAGCCGGACGTTGAGCCGGATGTTGAGCTTGTGGTTGAGTTTGATGATGAGCTGGAGGAAGATGATGTCGATGAGGACTGGTTCAGTTGTTTGCTGGCGGCGGGCAGCAGATGCTGATGTTGATTCTGCTCCAGCGTAAATGCCTGACCGCGCTCCACTTCCAGCACGGCCTTGTGAAAGATCGTGAGCATCCCATCCGCCTCAATGGGCGGCACAATGCGTCCGCGCGGCAGCAAACGCCCCGCCTCGACCAGCATAAAGCTGAAGAGCTCGGCAAACGAGAGCAACGAGGATTGCGTCATGGGGCTAAGCGGCTGCAAGATTTTCTGTTGCATAGTCAGGGCATAGGACCAGAGCTCGATGCACCGATCGAAGCGGCCAGCGTCTGCATAGTGGGCGCCCCTGCAAAGGATAATTATATTCAAAAACGATTTCTTTCGGTTTCTTATTCGCCTGCGCCTACCTGAAACGAATGTAGTAGCTGGTGTCTGGATGCGTCGGTCCTAGAATGCGCTGTCGTATGACCAGCGCCTGCATGCGCATCTCATCCGGATCGAGTACCAGCTCCTCGAGCTCTTCGATGGTGGTGACTTCGGTGACCAGCTCGTAGGCTGGCACCGGTTCCTGCACCTTTTTGTGCAATTGCGGCTCCTGTGCACGCTCCTCGAGAGCGCGTCGCCACAGCGTCAGCGCAACGGCCATGTCACGCTTCTTGTCCACATATGTTGCGCCGAGCAACTCCAGTGCATCGATGCGCGCCACCCGACTCACACACGGCAACGTTATCAGGTGCTCCACAATGGGCATGTGTCCGGTGACGCTGGCAGCCAACAGTGGCGTCATGCCATAATAGTCCACGTCCATGGTGGCGCCGTGTTTCAGCAGCAGCTGCAGGATTTGCAGTGAGCCCGACTCCGCGCAATCGTGCAGCGCCGTGTTGCCCTTGATGCTGCAGCGATTCACGTCCGCATTCAGCGACAGCAGATACTGGGCAATGCGATAGTGGCCCTTGTAGCAGGCTATCATTAGGCAGGTGTGGCCATGCCGATTGGCCACCTCGAAGTCTGCAAGAGACAAACACACAACGATTACAAACGCCCCATTTATGGCTAGGATTAACGGCAACAAACCTGCTCCGTGATGCACCAAATATTTGACGATCTCGTAGTGGCCATCGAAGCAGGCGGCGCGCAACGGTGTCGAGTTCGTTCGCGTCGTGCTGTTCACATTCGCAAAACGGCGCACCAGCATCTTGACAATGCCCAAATGGCCGGCGGCGGCGGCACACCAGAGAGGCGGCGCATCCTCGATGGGCTCGCCATCGAAGCTAACGGAGCCAACCTGTTCCACATTGGCGCGACACTTTGTCAATAAATATTCTACAATGTCGTAGTGTCCGTTCCGACAGGAGATGACCAAAGGTGTGGCTCCGTTCACTTTAGCCGATATCAATGCCGCAATTTCTGACGTCGTTTTCTTGTACAGCACGTTCTGAAATTGACCAAAATACAATAAAATACAATTAGTATATCAATTCTTATTAGTAACTAGGATACGAATTATATGAATATATTAAAGCAAACTTTATCTGAATGCTCAAGCGTACTAGATTAGAATATGCCTAGCTTTGGCGCATAAAAGACATAATGTCACATTCTCTAATACATTATTCTTTATTTTCATTAATTAGTATTATTATTTGTATTTTCTTATAATATTTATTAAATAATTGAACCAAATATAGAAATTTTAATTTAATAACATAATTATTAATAGATTAACTTAAAACACAACAAAAAAAAATAAACAATTTGAACTGCGTTCATCATAAACAAAGTCAAACAGTTGGCAAAAAGTGAGAAGAAAGTCAATACAAAATATGTATACACAACATGCTGCAGCAACATGTACGGCAAATGATTTTAACAGAATGTTGCAGCAACATGTTGCGCAACATCATTTGTAACTAAGGCCCGTTGGCTTCGAATTTACATGGGAAATCAAATATTGCGCTTATCAGTAGATTTCTTATCAAGCTCACATGAGAATTACATATAAATGTACATACATATATATATATATATATATATATATATATAGGTATTTCCGAGAATGTTATTATTCATATACGCAGCCAATAACATTTGCAATTAGGAACGATATTCGATTTGATAAACATTTATTATGCGCATAAAAAACTTATTTATCTGTTTAACAACTGGCGAAAAGTGCGACAAAAAACGCAAAGTGCTAATTAAAATTTGTAAATTTGTGAGCTATTTATTATTTATATATATATATATACTCCATGATACACTGGCAGATTGAAGGAATGAGAGTCAAAAGAATCGGTTGGATCTCTTTATAATGCTGCATCTGTTTATACCCTCAACCCATTGAATATGTTTATAAAGGGTATAACGTTTTTGTGCATGTGTATGTAACAGGCAGAGGGCGGCATCTGCGAGCCCCTAATGTATATATATATTCTTGATCAGCAACAAAAGCCGAGTTGATCTCAGAACCTGCAAGAGCTAGAGACTTGATATTTGGAACGTAGGTCCTCCCAGTGCAAGCCAGCTGCCGATAACCGATAATTTGCCCCACTTCCCAGATAAATCGATAAATAACGTGAAAAAATTCTATTTTTTGAGCAAATCTTAGGCTAGAGTCTACAAATTTGGCGAGTAGCTTCTGGAATAGATATATATAGATATACAGATCAAGCATATTTAATCTTTTGCAGGGTATCCGCTAGTCGGACATACCCAACTAGAGCAATGTTACTTATCACATGTCAAAGTCAATATGCCATATCGGATCACTATATCATGTAGCTGTTATAATCACAAACGATTGTCTATTCAAATTACTTATTTACGCGCAGCACACCAATTATCATTTGTATACCCTTCTAGGGGGTATTATTGCTTTCTTATGAGGCTTCGAAGGAGACACCTCCGACCGCATAAAGTATATATCTATATATTCTTGATCAGCATCAACAGCCGAGTCGATATATGTTTCTATGCGATCTAGTCTCTTCTGTTCCTCTTCTCTTCCAACATTTGATATCGGATATTTATGTTCATATTAATATTTGTGTTCATATCATATAATCCGAAAATCAAAAAACTTTTCAAACCATAAATTGATTTTAATTAAAATATACCTATTCCTTTCTTTTGTTCGAAATTCTAGAACTTCCAAATAAATTAAATGAAAATAGCAGCAAGTGTATTCGGACTTCGGCTATACAATGATATCAGTTTCTTCTGTTTGATTTGCATTTTATTTTATTTGCGCATGCCAATTCGAAATCGCATTTCATTGATGTCCAACGTGTTTTGTTTTCACTGTATGTTAATTATGTTATTAGCTGCGACCGAAGCACCTGAGGGCCGGGCTGCGCAGGTGAAACAATGTCCAGTGGGCAGTCTATATAGAAGGGCAGGCAGTCTATGTACTTTGTAATATGTGTAATATGCGTGTTGCCTTCAACTCCAGCCTAAGCGCCTCGAATATGCACTCACAATTGCCACCTGGTCTGCGATTGCACCTGGCTTAATGCAAGGTAGTTGGGCTCTTAAGAACATTGTCGATTTGCTATAAATCTAATCTGAAAGAAATTTGGTTAGCAATACGCAAGCACACATATAAACACGTTGGGAAAAAGGGTTATTGAAGCAAAAACTTGACAGACAGGTTTCTCAGCCCATCTCAAATAACTCAAACTTATCTCTCCGATATACATTGAACGCTTCCCACTTCCAATTGAAGCTGGAGTTCCCCTAAACAATAGTTTATATAAAATATGCACAACAGTCTTTAGACATTTTCAACTAAATTGAATTTTATATTGTCAAGAGTTCAATGAAGAATCAAGAACTTTTTAAATATTTCTCTGATAATTATTGAGGAAACCCAACAAAAGTCCAAAGTTCAAGAGCGACAAATTTAATATATTTATATTATTAAATATTCTTATCAACAGCTTAAATGTGTGCGATAAAAAGACAGAAGTATATATTGATCGATTTGTCTGATTAAATTGCTAACGAATCTATGTAAAAGATAGCCAGAACATAAGACAAGTTCTGGCGTTTAACAACACTGCTCTCATGTGGGTCATGTTTTAATAGCACATCTCTCTATATTATATCTTGCGCTTTTCTTTAATTATTCCCAAAGGAACATTCCCAAAGAACATCTCTTTATTTAAAGTCTGGCTATAATTTGTTTACCAACAATAATTGTGTTTACCAATACTGGTTTGTACTGGTTTGAATTTTAAGTGCTGTAAAGTGCTGCAAAGTGCTGCAAAGTGTTGCAAAGCTTTTTAAGCTTGCGAAAGAATTGCTTTTAGTTGCATATCATATCATATCCTATTTATATATTTAGTCGTATCGCAAGAGGATAATGTGCATGTCTAGAGTTAAAATATACTCATCATTCATAACCCTTGAAACATTCTATATAGATGTTGTAATGTGCCAACTCAAGTCGATTCTCAGCAAAGCTCTTTAAAATGTATATTTATAATGATTAGGCTTAAGCCTATTGCAAATAATACAAATATTTATAAAATATTAGCTCATGCTAAAGTTTAAAGCAGAACAATGAGTTCTGATTTATCGATTTGACAAATACATACATACATATATATTTTGCGACGGGGACAGGTGTCGATTAGCAGTTGCTAATCAAATATTGTTTTCGCTTCTTCTTTTTCTTTTGCTATATCATTTTTGATTTGTTAACATTATCAATATCAATAAAATAACATACAAAAGGGTTCCAGTTTGATACAACTTTTTCTTTTCATTGCCTAGACGAACTTTTTTAGAAATTGTGATGCAAATCGGGATAAATCTATCCACAAGCATGCTCTTCTATTTTGCCTCTCCTCGTGCTTTAGATAGAATAGATTGCTAATTTCCTGCATTGAAAAGGCCCGCACTCGTAAAGCCCTTGGGCGATAGGAAACAAAATGATTAGAGAAAACCTTGGGCCAAAGACAAGAGAACTTTTCGACTTATCAGTCTCAATTAGAGCAAACCCCAAAACAACGACATCGCTGTCCGTTTCTTAAAACCAGAAATAAATACAAAAAAAAAATAAGCAGTAAAACAAGCAAGCCGAAGAGTAAATACCCTTGCAGGCATAGTTGCATTGTGTTTTTATAAAAGGAAAGAAATCTTCATTTCCGATCGATGATATAATAATCACAAGTATATGCTCTAATAATAGGCATATAATGCTCTGATATAGCAGATAAGAATTGTTGATAAGATTCTGTTTATCAGACAAGAATCGATTGTCTGTGATACAAACAGACAGTCGGGCCTGGCTATAACGACTCTGCTGTTGGTCCACTTCCACGCGTTACATATTTCGTGACAAAATAGTAATATACTCTGCAAGAGTATAGAAACGCAGAGAACTAATAAATATAAAAACAAAAACAACGCGCACACACACACACACACACACACACACACACACACAAAAAGCCGCTGGGGGAGCACTCAATCAGAAGACCTTGTGAATGCCGTGCGGCATTTTATTTATTTATTTATGCTTTTCCTTTTTGTTCGTTTTCGTTTTGTTGTCATTGGCTTGGCATTATACGCTCTCTCGCTCTGCCTCTCCCACTCCCCCCCCCCCTCCCCTCTCTCGCTCTCACTCTGTCGCTCACTCTCGCTTCGGGCTCCAACTGAGAGCAACTTATTTTTGTGCTCTTCTAGCACGCGTATAAGTATGTTAACGCTTCCTGATCTCTCTGTCGACGCAGACAGAGCAACAGTTCTTTCTTTCTTCGTGCTTATTCTGCGTCACAAAATGGCCACAACGACCCCCCCTGCCCGGGCGTGTCAACCCCTTTGTCTACGCATTTAACAGCTCGTGCGCGTGACAAGCACATTTTGGCAACATTTAGCAGCGCATTTCTCAAAGATAGAAATTGTTGAAAATTTTTCAAAATAATACAATAAAAACAATAATAAGATAAATATAAGTTTAAATACATGTCTATATGCTGAATATAACAATTTACGCCTTAATATTTCAATCATATCGGGAGCACAGCCTTGCCTTGTGGTGCATCATTAAATGTTTATGGCATTGCCATGGCCAAAGAGAATCCCAATCCCAAATGTCCAACGACTTGGACTTGAGAGCAACGTCTTGGGCTACTGAACTTTTCGCTTTCATCAGCAGCCTCAAACAAACAAAAAAACAAACAAACAAACGGCAGCTGTTTGCTTTTCCGCATTTATAACATGCGTATATCTATGCATGTGTGCATGTGTGCATGTGTGTATGCATGCATGTACGTACATATGAGAAGCAGGTTCCCGGCTGCATATTCAATTGAGATTAAGTTCGCTTCACGCCAACCGATATCTGATGAGTCATGCAACAACAGTTAACTACAACAAACAGAATGACGCCAAGCACAGCGATTGCCCCAAAGTCTCGCTTAACCTTGC